GGCTTTTTCACTCTGAATTAGAGAATTTATGTGCTTGATGGACAGGTGGACAGTCTGGCTCATTTGAAGTCATATTGACAAGAAAAGCTGCATTCTTCACCGACAGATGAATTTGTAAAGATAAGCACAATGTGTTAAATTTCCATAAAATACATCATGTATGAAATACAAACAAAACCAGTATGAGCAGGTGATCATTCCTATCATAATCCAGGGCTCTCAAGTTTTGAACTAAGCTTAGAGTGAGATTTCCTTTGGGGGGGGGGGGGGGTGATTGAAGTAATTATCTCTTAAATACAACGGAGTATAAGGGGCACCATTAGAAAAAACGTTTTTAAATCTGAAAGAATAAAGTTATTATTTGGGAGAATAAAGTCATTAATATCAGTATTAAGTTGTAAAGTTACCTGTTGTGAAGGAGAGTTGTTAAAATCAGCACTGTGGAGCATTTAGATGAATTGTATTTTAGTATAGGTTTCACATACATGGAGATACTTAATCTTTTGGTACATGAGCATTACACTGTCATGAGTATCAGAACTTATATTTGAGATTTATGAGAAATGCTGCTTTTGTGGAGGGGAAAATGGCTGGAAATGGCTGTACAGAGGCTAAATCCATCAATACAGCTGTTAATAGCAATAGCATAGGGCTTTAGTTTATCATATGAGTTTATCTGCCATGAGGTGTTGAGGTCTCTGCATGTGTAGGTTACTGACTTACTGTAATCATCGGGTCTATCTCGTCCTTATAAAAACCTGCTCTATTACGGCGAGTGTCTGTCTTCTTCTGTAGTCAAACCGTAAGATATCAAAAGCCAGCAATGCTGCTTTTTGATTGGCTGTTCAGTAGATATACTTTATTTGATTGGCTTGCGCGTGGCACGCAGCTTCTGAACTCTCGGATGAACTCAATTGATTCCTACCTGTTCCATAGTTAAAGAGGCGCAACTTGGTGGACATCACCATGTTCATTTAAATGCGTGAGAAATACAATGTGTGGCGTGTGAGCGTGTGAACGGGTGGGAATGCGTGTGTCACACGCTGAATGCGTGAGACTTGAGAGCCCTGATAATCCAAGCACATTACAACCACAGGCTCCCCACATGGAATCCAAGTAGAACCACTCCTCTTTTATTAACTTCCCACTCTCTCTTCTTCTCACTTTATTTTATTTATTCAGTTCATTTGTCAGTTCTGCAGCTGCCATGTTGATCTAGTGTGGAAGTCATTTGGAAGAATGGAGAAATCTCAAAGTAAATCACACCCAGATTGTCACCACAGACTCATGCATCTGACGAAAAAGTTTTTCAAGGCCAAGCAAGTTAAAAAGAACTGGACCAGGTAAGGGCCACACTGTAAAAAGTCTTTCCATTCAACTTTATTTTATGAAGTGGATTTCTTGCGGTTAATGCATTCTCTTTCTTTATAAAATTTATTCTACATAACTCTGCTAAAAATATTAAAAGTAAACATCATGGGCTTGGTACCTGATAGCTTATTATATAACGCATTTTAAATTAAACACAAGATTATTGTTAAATTTAGTAAGAAAAGAATGAATGTGTTTTTTTTTTTCCTGAAACTAAAGTACAGAAAATGTAAATAAAGGGGAAAAAAGAGGCTCAGCATGTGTAAATATTGCATCTTCTATCATGATGTTTTGTGATGAAACTCGGCTGAAATAGTGTCCCAAATGGAGCTTAACTGCATCGTGAACTAGTTATCTGTCTGACCCTGAGGCTGCTGCTGCCGTCAGAGCCAGAATTGTTTCCCTCAAAGCTTTCACTTTCCTCTGAAACTGGTGCAGTAGCATTCAAAGTTAGGCCACTAGCTGATTTTAACAGGTTGATAAATTATTCTCGAGATATTGGTGTCAGCCAAATGTATTTATAAAGATCTTATAAAGTTATTTACGGAGAACAAAGAGTCCTGGAAGCCGTTAAGATGAAGACATAGAGACAAGAAATAGAACAAAACAACAAAAAGCAGGATGCTGTTGACAGTTTCAGTTGCACAGAGATAATGTATGGTGCAAGTGTCTGTTACTGTTTTCTTTCTGACTTCATTTCTTGTAAGAAACATACAGTCAGAGAATAAGGGTTTAAATGAGCATACAGCAAATAAAACTGAGTACGTTTTTAATGTGGTTCTGTATGTATGTCTGCTTCTAGCATTCACTTTGGCAGGTATCCAGACCAGCTGGAGGTTCACCTAAAGCTCAAAATTAGTTTGGCTCCTACTGCGATGGAAGCGATGGCTGAATTTTGGGATCCATCATGGACAAAATCCAAATCAGGGTATGATTCGATAGAATATAGAGTTTAGTGTATACTACTGCATGGAGAAACACTGCACATACAACCAGAAAGATTATTGAAATAAGAGATGACAAATGTTTCTAAAAGAGATCAAAGAGAGTTTCTTTATTGCAGATGGAGAATGGTTCATGAATGCCTAGTGATGCCCTGAAAACTGAATACAACAATAAAACTTACATATAGGCAAAATTGCCCTGGCCAAGGAGACTTGAACCTGAAGCTGAAACTTTTAAGACCAAAATTTACCAGCTTAACTAAAATATCTGCATATAGTTTAGAGGAGGCTTTGCCATTTCAAAATAAAGGCATATGTAATTGAGCAAAGTGGGAACCCTGTATTTGGGTAAACTGTTTGTAGTGAAGTCAAGAAGACGGTTTCTCTCTCGCTTTTCAATTATATTTTTGTGAGTGAAAACAATATGCCCTAGGCTTCTGTCAGAAACCTTTGAATTGCAAAGACTTTGGCGCCCCTTGTGGAAACAGCACCAGCTCATTAAGTCAATGTAAAAGTGGTAAAATCTGCACTTCCCCAAGTGTCCACTTGAGGAAGACTGCAGAAGCACTGGAAACAACATGCACACTCAGTATGTTTACATGTTGTTAAAAAAAATATTTATTGCTTTAATCTGACAGAAACTGAACTTTTAAAATACATGTCAAAATGTTAGCATGACTAACATGGTATGGCATGACTTTAGTGTTCTTCACATGTCCCATGCATATAGTAAATGAACTGGCTAAGCCAATTTTTAGAGCAAAAATAAGCATGTTTACAGCCTGGGTCAAAAAACAGTTTTTGCCTGAATAGCTCAGGTCCCCAAAAGCACCTTCTGTATGAAGTGTGAATTTTTGTCATGGGTTCATTCTGAAGTTATTAAGGTAACTAGATTGGTGAATCAGAGGTACATGATGGAGGGGCGTCAAGTCACCCTCAAAACCACACAAAAATACCTCATGCTGAAAGGTCCATCAAAGCCCCCAGGTGCACAATCCACTAGGCAAATAAAAGAGGAGGGAATATTCCACAATAAAGGGTATTTCATCTTTTATGACTAAAGATTGACAAAAGATGCTTATAAATAATGGATATCAATATAGTAAATTAACTTCTGCTGTGTTTTACCCATTTAATTCCTCATAGGAGCTTTAAGTTCAAACTCACAGGTTAGCAAATTTGTGAGTTCAGATTTCCTTTCTAGACTCACACGTTATGCCTTTGTCCTGGTCTCGAACCCAGGATCCTTTCACTGAGAGGCAGCATCCTTCACCACTTTGTTACACAGATTTGCCTGTCTATGCTTTCTTTTTAAAGTCTTGATTCCTTCTATTTTTGACAGTGGAAGTTTAAAACCATGGTTTTAACTATAAGTAAGGGCAGCATTTTCTTCCTCACTCACATGAAAAGTCTCTGCTCTGGATTTGAACCCTGAATCTGTTAATTCGGAGGGAGCAGCCCTCCTCACCCCAGGTAAGCCTTGCTGAGTTTGTTTATAGGTGTTTTTATTTCACTCTTTCATTGTTCAAGAGCACAGCTTAAACTACATTTGAGGAATGCATGACCTTCCTCACTCTTAGGTGCTATTTTGCGGGGCTTGCTTGAGTAATTTGATCTATTATCTTATTTAATCAGGGCAAGAACCTAACAAGAATCCCATGAATGTTATTTCCTACTTATTTTAAGAGGCTAAAATGTTCAAAAAGTCCTGAAACTTTGTGGTTTATTAGGACTGGCAAAAAAGTTGTTACTTTTTGAGTGTTCAATATTTGCAGAAGGAATTGCACCCCCTATACTAGCAGTTTTCCTGTCTGGCTTGTTAAGGCCCAAAAATGTGTTATCTATTTGTTTATTTTTTTAACAAATAATGAATTATATTGTTTATCAAGAGTGTTGACATCATTCCATTTATACAGGACATGAGCTATCTGACCTCAAGGATACAGCGCCACCTGGCAGGATGACCGTTATGACAGATTTTGCTGTTAGTTTGAATGTGTTTGGTTATTGGCAGAATAAGCTTCTTTACCTAACTGAATGAGTGACCTGGATGTGAAGGCATCTTTTACTCTTGCAAAATAAATGCTGCAGGAAAACATAATTCAAATAGGCTACAAAGAATGCCTCAGTTGGCCAGGCTTGGGCTGGACTCTATCCTGGGCTGGGGGAGGATAAGGGGAAAGACAGCATGTTCCACATTAGCTGAGGTACATGGCTACCACTTGGGGGTCTTTGCGGTTTAAAAATGAAGCCATTAGCGCCTGAGGTGAGGTGACTGGTTTAAATGTATTGTTTTAGAGTAAGTTTTGACCTTCAGCATATGCTGTAAGAAAATACAATAGAATAGCAGTGGTAATACTGGGCTGTATTATGCACACACGCAACATTATACTGTGAGGACATGAAATAGAAAATCTGTCAAAGTTCTGAATTTTAGATGGAAACATGTGAGCAAACTCTTGAATTAGACAGCTTTAAACAATTAAACCAGCAGTTTTAATTTGCTGCAATGCCCTATATTGAACAGCTGTCTGACATATGGAGTCTGTGAGGTGTTAGATTAAATTATAAGAGCTGCTCTGAGTTATCTATCGACTGGGTGGGAAATGGGTTGGGTTAGTGAGGCGGTCCCTCTCCTCCCCTTGCTGCTTGCTGAGATAAGACTTGAAAAACCACAAATGTGTCAGAAAAACAACCCAATTCACCCTTTGCATCGAGGACACACAGTTGTTCACAATGACTGGTTCAAACTCTCAGTAAGTATGGACAAATATTTCATTTTCTGATCACTTGGGTTGTTCAAAATTCAATTCCGTAAAAAGTAACATACATGGAAATGTCGTTTAGAGATAAGAAGCCACAAGAAGATGGGGATGGTGGTGCAAAAAAGAGACAAAAGAAGCAAAAGACAGGAGACACCTGGCAACCAGCAGGACCCAAGGACCCTTTTGCCATGGTTTGTGTGCTAAAACCAAAGTGAACACTCAGCTCCCACATTTCATATCAAGAGGACTCACGTTGCTGTGTGATTTTAAAACCTCAATTTTCCCGGGAAAGATGTGATAGCAACTTGTTCTTGTCTGTCCTTTACTAAAGCTAGAAAAGCTTCCAGAGAAGCAGCAGCAGGAGATCCAGAGAGCTCTCCACCTTTTCTCACTGGGCCCAAGTCAGCCAAAAAGCCTGCTGCAGGCCAAAAACCACAAATATGTATTTTGGGACACACAGCCTGTCCCCAAACTGGGTAAGAAGTCATTTTCCATTTATTTTTGTTGCAGCAGTATCTACCAGGAAACTTAAAATACTGTCACGGCTCAAAGTTACACTTAAAGCAAAAGTTTGACATTTAGTAATAATCCTTTTTCTGCAGGCAAATTATAGGAAAAGATTTACACAACTCCTAGATACTGCAGTCAAATGTGAGATACAAACTGTTAGCTTAATGAAAGAACTCAGTCAGGAACAGTGGCGGCTGCTGGTCTTTCAAGGAGGGGAAGCTCATTTTTCTGGCCTACATCATAATTGTATTTGTTTATTAGTATGTAACAGAACAGAGTCGCCAAACACAACGGCAGTCGTTTTTAACAAAGACAAAAGTCGCTGAGGATTGGTAAAGTCTCTGGAGCAGTTAAGAACAACGGAATGAATGACTTGGAAAATGCTCTGGTAGATGTTTTATTCTTCAAGATCGCTGATTCGCTTGTTTAGCTGTCAATCAAAAAAGGATTTCGCCTCAGACAGCTCATCCAATCATGAATGCAGAAGCTTGGAGTCCGGGAGAAAGTCGGGACCGCCCTCTCGCCATAGAACTCCAGTGAAGCTTAGCTTCCATTGGGCGGGACAAAGCCCAGCATTTATCCAATGAGCGTCTAGTTTCGCTGCTGGAACAACCCACTTTAAGCTTTCACATTGAAGTCAGCAGAAGCCCAACGTCCGACTGTTTGAACCGCTGAGGCGCTGCGAGGATGAATGAGAAGTTATGCCGGTTACCTGTGATTATCAGCTTCTTATCACAGTGTCTGAACAAAAGTTGAAGGCTTTCTAGTGCGTATTTAGTTAATGAAATGTACACACAGCAGTACGTATTTCACCACTTTTTCTTTTTTTGGGGGGGTGACATTTTAAGGGAAGCCGAGCTTCCCTTGCAGTCTTAGAGCAATCGCCACTGGTCAGGAAGTAATGCCAAGTGACAGTAAGCTGACCATCTGCTTACAGGATAAGTTTCCTTTTAGGGACAGAAATTAAAGTGATATCAGTCTTCTCATTTAATATTCATCCACGAAGCAAATTAGCATACTTATTAAACAAAGCTATTTGTATTTTGTCCATAGGTGAAAGTTATGTGACTCATGGCCCAGTATCAGAGGGTGAAACCAGTGTACGCTCAGAACCTTTCTCCTTACCTCAGGGATTTTTCTGGGACACCCTGGACCTCAGCAGTCCTACAGTGGTAAGTTGTTTACAGTAAGTTTTCACACATTTGTGCCATATTGTATTTGTTATGAAGAAAGTAACTGTGCCGCATTTGGGCGGAAAGTTGAAGTTGAAAATTCAGGAAAACAATTGTCTAATTCGATGCTCTTCTACTCATTATTTTAGCTGAAAGAGCTTAGCACTCTGTTGAATGAAAACTACATGGAGCAGGATGACAACACTATCAGATTTGACTTCTCTCCAGACTATCTTCAGTGGTAAGAAACAGACAGAAGAACGTTGGCACTCTTGACTGAGCTTTAAATTTGTCATTACTAAAAAAATATAGTCTAGCACCAACTTTGGTTTTCATATGTAATAATAGAACAATGTTATGTGTTAATAATGGAACAACAAAGGTATTTGTGCAGCTCTTTTTTCTTGTTTGCACTTTTTGTGTTTGAGGTATGTTAGCAAGCTTCTTTGCCCCTGTATTGTTCATACAGGGGCAAAGAAGATGAAACTTCTTGTAGCTTTTGCATACTTTGAGTTTTTAACCCTGAACCTATCGCACTCTTAAATTTGCTGACTGGCTTATCCAATCCTTTTCTCTACGATAACAGTGATTAGTTTTTGTCCACATTTATCAAAATCAGTGTTCCTAGAAGAGCTACAGGCCTTTAGCTCTGAGGTCAATGAAAGCTGCTGTAGCCATTCAATCTGCACAGTTTTTCTTGAGCTCAGTTCTTTCCTAAGAAATTGTCCTTCATTGGAGTTTAACAAACTATCCCCATTTGTTGATTCACAGAGTAACATTGCAAGCAATGTCCTTCTTTTGCTCCTAAGGGCTTTACAGCCTCCTAACTGGCTGATCCAATGGAACTGTGGTGTGCGAGTGAACACAAATAACAAGTTGGTGGGTTTCATTGCTGCTGTTCCTGCAGGAGTCCGCATCTATGAGACGTGAGTAGTTCATAATTATTTGCAAAAATATGAGTTTATGTTAGTTCTTGGGGGTTATATTAGCATTCAGAATGCTTTTTGGATTAAACTGAAGTAATTTTCCTACCAACACCTCAAAGAAAATGCTTCAAATGTGCTCTGCAGGGAGAAGCCAATGGTACATGTGAAACTCCTGTGTGTTCATAAGAAGCTGCGCCTCAAGCGGATGACTCCTGTTTTAATACGAGAGCTCACCAGAAGGGTCAACCAGCAGGGAATCTACCAGGCAGTCTACACAACTGGCTTGGTGCTGCCCACACCTTTGAGCTCCTGCAGGTAGTAACTGCTGCATAGTGCTGATTCAGAGCCAACTTTTCTCACAATAGCTTTGCAAGATAGAAAATAATCTTTATAACAAAAATACCTGTGAACTTAGTTATTTTCTCATAAATTTTTGCAACTTCACCTCTTTAGAACAGCAAACTGCATTTGGAAAAAAGGATGCACAGGATACTTCTAAGTCTGTGCTGAGCACTTAAATCAATCAATATCCTTACAGTTAAAAGGAAATTTGATTAACCTGGCTTGGTTTTAGAGTGCAGTAGCTGTCGTGAAGATCTTTTTATTTTTTATTTTTATTATTATTATTATTATTTTGGCTTTTCTGGATGTTAGCAATACAAACAATGTTTGCTTACAGTATGTCAATGTGTCTCTTATCTGTTGTGCTTTCTTGTTCGTTCTTATTTTTGATGCTTCATCTCCTTTGAGTATCAACCTGTTTGTTTAAGTACAATAATGGATTTCTTATAAGTCAGTATTGACAGTAAAGAACAGTTAAAACACTTTCAGCTCTCTCTGGTGGACTTACTTTCTGGTGATGGACACTACCTGGGATTTGTCTTGGGAATGCTGACTGGACACCTGGTTTCTGATCCTAAAAAAAATAGTCCAAATATAAGTTGTCCATGAAATCAGTGACAATGATAAAAAAGATAGTAACTTAACAGATGTACATTCAGCTGGAAAACTTCAGGAGCATCATTTTAAAATTTTCATGAATGATTTATGAGGATGTTTCTCTCCTCCTGACTTTTTGACTTTGATCGTTGCTTTTTCATTCATGAGTATTTAAAGTAAGTTACTTTTTTAAAATCAAAAGGTGCCAAAGCCTCAGATACAACAAATTATTAAATAAAACATCATGTTTCTGTGGCTTCTTATGAATGTAACTCTCTAATATTTTTGCTGCAAGTGCTATTTTTCCTGAAAAATTGGGGTTACTTAAAAGTTCCTGTCAAGTATCCTGAACGTTGTAGCATTTTGGAACTTTTTTTCTTCAATAATGTCTTTCCTTTTCTTCCCCCCCAAAAAATGATGATAAAAAAATGATAGATTCTGGCATCGCCCTCTAAATCTCCGAAAGCTGGCTGATGTGAACTTCCCAGGTATTAGACAGAACATGAATCTGCAGAGAGCTCTCAAACTCAACCGTCTGCCTGAGGTTAGTTTCTGCTGCCACCTAGAGGTGACATTGACTAGGATTGTGAAATCCTGACACCACAGTATTGGGAAAAAAAAAAAAAAAAATTAAAATCAGGTTTTAATAATTCTTTAAGACTTCTCCTTCCCTGTTATATCTACCTTCCTCTCTCTCTCCAAGGTGACAAAAACACCCGGCCTGCGCCTGATGACTAAAGAGGACGTTGTTGGGATACACTCTCTACTCCAGTCACACCTCTGCAAGTTTTCCCTCAGCCCCGTCTTGTCTTCCCAGGAAGTGGAGCACTGGCTGTTGCCGAGGGAGAATGTGATTGACACCTATGTGGTTGAGGTCTGACCTTACAGCTTTTCAGCTGCAGTTTCTTTACCTGTAGAGGTATTATAGAGCCTCCCTTACCATTTTCTGACACTGACCTCTCTGCACACATAGAGGGATGATGGCACTTTGACAGACATGGTGAGTTTCTACAGCACCTCCTACAAGGTCCTGAATCACCCGGTGCACACTGACCTGAAGGCAGCTGTTCTCTTCTACATTACCTCTGCTACTGACCCAGCTGACCTCATGGAGGACGTTCTGGTGCTGGCTAAAACTGTGAGTGTGTCACAATGAGAGAGTTAAATGAAAATCACAAAGGAAGGCCTGATCAATTTTGTATTGCTATCGTCAAGTTAGATTGAATAACTCGAACCAAGGATGCTTAACTTTATTTTTCCAGTAAGACATTTCTAGTTGGACTGTGTATTTTTAATTGGTGTATCGTGAAATGCATTTAAATAGCTTTTTGTTACTGAAATGTCCGTACTAGTAGTTCAATGCTTGAATTAGCAAACTATTAAAACTTGTTTTTAATATGACTTTCTCAGTACATATTTATACAAGAGCTTGGATATGTATTGGCTGATATTGCCCTGTCCAGACGTTAATCCACCAGAGATTAATATGGCTTACACCAATGTCAATAGCTGTTGTGGATCTATATATTTTCATGTCTTATCTTTACTGCATCAGCTTAGTGTTTAAAAACTACTTAATCTGACTACTGACTCTGAGGCTGTTTTTATTTTTACAGACTCAAAGAATTATAAAGATTTTGAGGAGTTGCTGTCAGTTTAAGTGTTATTTCAAACATCAGTTTCAGCCCTGATTTTCTCAATTGGTGCATCTCCAATTTTTACTTTCTTCATAAAAGAGTCATTTTCTTGCTCTGCTGATGTATTATTTCCCAAGCCATATTTTCCTGTATTATTGATGTTCTACTAGTTTTTAAGACCCAACATTAATCCCGTGTGCCCTTCTCTTAAACTACACACATACATTTACTTGCTGGATTAACCAACGACAAAATCGGAGCAAGATTATAAACATTAATACTGACAAAATGTTATTTATTTGTGCATTAAACAAATTTAATGCCCTTTTTTCGTATTTGCAGACGGGTTTTGACATCTTCTCTGCTCTAGACGTGATGGATAATATGAGTTTCCTTAAGAAGCTTAAGTTCAGCATCAATGAGTCAAGCATTCATTACTACCTGTACAACTGGAAGTGTCCAACTATGAGCCCCGACAAGGTACTGAAAACATTAGTACTGTCTTTGTGAGAATTCAAATAGCTTGCCTTATATGGTAGTTATTTACTGTTTGACCTAAAGTAAAATGAAGACCCACCTATAACCTTTTAATGTTTTACATGTTTAATGATAGATAGAAATATGTCACACTGCTGTTTTAATGTACTGTATAACTGAAAAATCAGTTGATTCACAGTCTGTTATAAAACCTAAAACAATCCTTAAATGAACCCCCACACACACACACACACACACACACACACACACAATTGCCTTACTAGTGTGTGAACTCTCTTACATTATCACATAATATATTTGGTGGAAATTATCCAAAAGTCTTAGATTTTCAAGAAAGCTAGGTGCTTTTGTGTCACTCAAGTTAATTCAAATCCATTGGTGCATGTTTTGCAGGTCGGTTTGGTATTACCAAACTAACTTTCCACTAAAAGATGACAGAGCGATTGAAGAAGAATGGATCAGCGCGAATGGTTGGACATTAAAATGCAGCACTAGCATAAGGTTGTGTTTTCGATAAAAACTACCAAACTGTCGAAAACATAAATACACCAAGGGATCAATAGAACAAATAAAGACACAATTGTATTTGTAAATACATCTGTCGTCAGGGTGTGTTATTCAGTCAGCCAGGGAATCTCTCAGATGGGGAGCTCTCTCTCTCTCTCTGTCTGTGTGTGTGTGTGTGTGCGTGCGTGCATGCATGCGTCTGTGTATGTGTGTAACTGAATATTTCAACAGGCTATTCACTTCTCATAACTCCAGGAGACATGACACTTAATAATACAGCGGCCAATTCACAAATTGGATTTAAGGGCAAGATCATTAATCATTTGCTCTCCCACAAAACAGTATAAACAGTCATACAATACACACACACATGCTCACAGACTTCCTTACACATGTGACCACTTAATCTATCTCACTATGCATATTGCTCTTGTATTAAATACGTCAGGCCTAAATGAAATCAAGCTGTATCTGATCAAGACATGATATGATACATGAAGTATGTTCATGATCAAAGAGTGTTTCTATGAAATTAACCCCGTACTGAAGTTTTACAGACATTGCTACAGTAAAGACCAGCAGGTTTTTTTCCCCAAAATGCATATCCAAATCAAGAATTCATGTCTTAAAATTGAGAGGAACATTGTGTTCAGCCTTGATGGGAAAAAAAAGACTCTGGGTAACCCTGTAACATCGTAGTTGTCTTCTCAGTTTAACAAGGAGTCAGTTAAGGAGGTTGAGTGACTCCTTCCATTGGTTGAGACCAAATACGTTTAAGGATTACTACCTTTAAAGTAGAATACAGTTTACTTTAAAACCACAAGGGCCATAAAGTTTCAATAAATGATCAGCAGGGGGCACTCTAATCCTTACATTTAGGTTTGGCTTTTAATTGTGGACAGAAACTGAAGTGCTGTAGCTTCTCTGCAGGGTTACATATTGTTATTTTCATGTATGTGGGGACACACAGCCTAAATGTTGGTTTACAAAATAGCAATATGTATTTTTTTGAAAATAAAAAGTAAAAACATAAAACGATGTGAAAATGCCTCTTCCTTTTGTTTGACGTAACTGTTGAGACTGATACCAAAATTTGATATACAAGCAAGAATTTACACAAAAAACAATGCAAGAACACCACACACAAAAGACCTTTAAAGAGCAGTCAAGCAAAATGACATAAGATCCAACTTAGGGACCCGGCAGCTGAATAACCAAAAAACGATGGGAACTCTATTTATTTACCCAACAACAGCAGAAAAACCCGAATCACACAAGAACTCAACATGAAGCAAAACCAAGAGGACCAGTAGGATACTTATAATAAGTATGTCTGCTTTTAAATAAAAAAGTAAAGGGCTGAAAGGCAAAACTTTTTTCCAGGGGACTGTTGAAACTTTGACTCATACAGCTTAGTTATTGGAAAGTTTATTTGCTCATACCAGTATATGAGGAAAAAGCCAGTATTGGCAGCTACAGTTAGCTGGTACCTCTGTTGGGCTCTTTTCGTCTTTTTTAAAGTATTAATTGCATCTCCTGGTTTTACCAATCTTGTAGGTTTAGTTTTCAGGCGAAATTAGGACGATTTTACCCAATATTTCTCAGTGTTGTAGATACAAATATGCAACAGCGCTCAATAATAACTTTTATACGTAATAATACCCCAAACTAGGAGTCTATTTGTAATGTTTACTTTTACCATTTGTGTCTTTCATTCACTGTGGATTCATCTGGAACTTTGTCTCAGAAGTCACAGAAGTAGGAGTGCACAACGGGCACGTGAACGCAGCACCGCTCTGAGTTTGGACCAATCAGAGACGAGAAGGCATTTTAAGTTTGAAGTTGTAGGACCTGGATCAGCCAGCAGCAGCTCAGTGCCTGCTGCCGCCTCCGCACTCTGCGACACGGCAGGATAGAGCCGTGCCTGCCTGTAGTTTCATTTTCAGTGGTGAATAAGAATAGAGGCAGTAGAGTTTCTTCGAGGAGAGGTGTTCATGTTTGGCTGTTGTCTTGTTTCATTGTCGTCGAGGAGGCGCTCGTGCCGGGTGAACGTTAGAGTGTGACGTGCTGCGGTTAGACGTTGACTGTCAGGAACTGGAGGAAACATCACATATGCTCACTCACTCCGAGTTTTGGTCATTTTACGTTATTTGAACAGCTGATCTCACGCACTTCCGTGGATTTTAAGTTTTTACACGCCAGTGCAAGGCCTCCAGCAGGAATTGCAGGTATGTTTTCTCTCTATAAATTGTACCTCTTTAATAAGTAAGTTGCTTCGGTGCTTTAAACGACACTGTTTTTTAAGGTTGATGTGATGCACTCACAAGCTGTTAGCTAACACTCTGTTTATGTGGGTGTGAAAGGAGTGTTCATTTGTCACCTTTTTCGACATGTTGCATAGGGTTGCGATGAAACGACACAACTGACACACACACACACACACACACACACACACACACACACACACACACACACACACACACACACACACACACACACATCAGCTGTCATTGCATTAGTCAGTTGAGCTTCCTTCCTTTAACATTAACCTAATTTCTCACGGTGACAGTAGACACTGGAGGAAACCAGGCTCGTCTGTGGCTGTTTGTCCCTGCAGATGACCAGTTTACTCTTTTCTATGACTGTTTTCTGAAAGTTTTTACCTTTCTATCCTATGAGGAAAATAGCATTTCAATACTGCATGCAATTTAATTGTTGATATATATTTCTTCTTTTGTCAATTCAATTTCTTTGAGGCATACCAAGTGACAGAACCTCTAACCAAGCTGGTTCTATCCTTTCACCCACTGTCCTACATTTCACCTGCAACTACTCAACAGTTGAGTCAAGCTTGTCTGCCCTCTTTCCACAAGGAAGACTGAGCCTTTAGACAGCTCACCAGCCCCTTTGCAAACAGCGACACTGAGGAGAGCTTTTGGGGTTGTTGTCTGCAAAGCCACCTGTGATGATAAAGTATTAGAAGGCTGAAATGTACATAAGCTCCAAGCAGACATGCATCTGTGCTGATCTCAGCTGTTCTGAGTTGTTTGCTTGAGGTCTTGACTTACCTGTCTCATCTTGGGCCAGAAGATTTTGATTCACTACATCTCTGTAATGTCTGACGATCATATCCCTTGAGTTGCAAAAGCATAAATTAAACCAAAACAGGATTGATTTACTTCATTAGTGTGGACAATAGCAGCATGGCATGTGGCCAAAAAATCATCATGACAAAACTAGTCATGTTATTTTAAGAAAAACATAAATCAATCTGTATTGCCTCGCTTTGTTATCCTGGAATAAGAAAAAGATGTCCGTGTCTGGTAACAGAAACAACAAAAATTGGCTCATCATGACAGGAAAACCAGTGTCTTGATCATGAGATTACGACATAAGTGAGCTGAGATGTTGGAGGAAACAACCAGAAATTGCTTGCTATTATGGGAAAACTGCATGGTTGCTGAAGGCTTCCACAGAAATAGCTCCCATTTTACTATAAACTCTCATTTCCAGCTCAAAGGGGGTACACTTGCAACACTGAAGACTGAGTTTAGTCAACCATTGGAATCAAAGTCTTGTTTATCTGTGTCAGTCTGCCACAGCTATGCAAACACTTGCAAACTGCTTGGGTTATGTGTACATTGGAGATGGATGAGGCTTGTTTGATCTGCTTTGAAATAGGGTGACTGTAGTCATTGTGAGTTGTTGCTTGTGTTTACTCAATGCACGTTTCTTTCAGCAGTTACACACCTATGATTTCATCTAGGTTTGACTCTTATCTCATTGGAATTCAAGTCAAAATAATGTAAATTTAGGGAGTAAAAGTGACAGAATCCGAAGTTTTTAGCACACTCTCTGAAAGCGAACAAGTAAGAGTAGGGAAACTGTGCCTGATAATTTCTACAACTTCCTTTTTTGTTTTTTATTTCCTTCCAGCTGCTTTTTTCCCCCCTCAAATGTTAAATATAAAACTCATTGAAGCCTCATAACCGAAGGCTACAGTATTCCAGTCGTGCACGTCTGTAATTTTCCCACTAACTGCATGGCCTGTGTCACAACAGGTTTTCCACAGACCTTCCTCAGCCAGCTGGTGTTGTGCAAGTCAGGAAAAGACTGATAGACTCCTTGATAAGACATTCTGTGAGGCACTGAGCAGGACAGCACATGCCGGTGTTGCTGTGTAACTCATTAATGACAGAGTATGCTGTTTTGTGTCACTATTGTTTAATAGCAGAATGTTAAAAGATGAAGCACAGTCGCCACTGATCCATATCCAGCTTGCGCAGAGCAGCTGCAGCAGAGTGTGTCCGAGCAGGGAGTGGCTCTCTTATTTTCCTCTTCCACTCACATCACTCTGGTCGTCTTTACCTGCCCCTTCGTTGGACCATGTAAAGACTCCAAACAAAGAGACAGACGCTCCATTGTTGTTGGACAGAAGTGAGCTGGAAGTGTTATCATTCACCTGAACGCCTTGCGTCGTCATGTTGCCCCTGCAGGGATCATATTGCTCAACACAGGCTCAGAGTGGAGTGTGCTGTAAATGAGGGTGTTCTGCTGTACAGACATGTCTTGTTTAACACTTTTAACATCAGTGTGTTTCTTCTTTTTTTGCAGAAAGCTGTCATGAGTGGTGAATGAAAAAGTTCCCCTCGGCTTGAGCTTGAAATACTTAACAGATCACTTTGAGATAACAAAAAAACACATAGCTTGAATTAGTGCTAGGCAATATGGGAAAAAGTTTATCATGATATATTTTTTTTCACATCAGTCGATGTTGATATATATCATGATATAAAAAATGAAATTTAACAGTGTTTTTTGGTAGCATGTCTTTTGCAGTACAATAAGCTACTGCATCTGTGAGGTCTTTGTGTCTCTTCGACTTTTTGTCGTAAGAAACATGGCAGAATGTTGACTATCGAAAAGCATATTGACTGTGTTTTATATTGATATTGGGGGAAAATAATTTTCTATTTATATCATTACAGTTTTATTGCCCAGCCCTAGCTTAAATGGGAGAGTAGTCTTTATATAAAATGGGCTTCTGTGTTTAAAAACATTGGTTTAAACTGCACTTTTTAGATGTTTTCTACCACAGTGATGATGTTCCCTCAGTCCTACGTTTCCAAGCTGTTACTGATCTGTCATCATACTGATGTTTCATGTATTGCTCCTGCCCTGCCGCTAAGTTTAACACTTTGGTTTGATCTACTGTGCGTGATTTTACCTCCCACTAAGTGTAGCTTCAATGTTATTGTAGTAATTGAAGGGATGTTAAATAAAACCTTGTAAAAGTAGGATTGTAATTTAGTTTTAAATGGGTAATTAAGGTTTTAACAAGGCCGTTAAAGGAAAAATATCCAAATAAGGGCACTTGTCAAGTTCATTTGATTTGATGTAGTAACAAAGACTCAAACTTATGTCTGTTTGGGGTCAATGATTTGATTCCTTAATAGTTTTATTACTTTCCTCAATTATTCTAAAGAGTAATGTCCTTTTAGAAGTGTATACCATGCTGTGAGCCATAAAAATGAAGCGATCACTCGAGGTGGAGGAAATTCCTCAATGTAATCAAGGTACTTGAATTATTCAAGGAATCATTTAAGCCCTAGACTGATTTCATTCTGCTGATCAACCAACAATAAAAACCTAAAATGATTGGCTCTGAGTCTGATGATGTGGACTGTGCAGGCGTCCCATTGAAGCCATTAGTGTTTTCCAAAGAAGCCCCCTGTAAAGACTATCACCCCTCTGATTGCAGTGAAATGCAGTTATTTGTTTTGTTTGTAATAGTTTTTAAGATGGATTTCTTAAGCCTGCACCCCACTCAGAGCATGCATGGGCGGGGCTACCACTATGTCACAGTGTATATTGTGTCATTTAGTCAACTTAATGTCCAAACCTCATCTCTGTATTGTTAGTCCTTATCTGTATCTTTATGTGTTAGTCAAAGTTCAAGTAACTTCACAGAGACAAACTGCTTCAGAAAATCAGTTTTAAAATACTCCCACTTGACCCTGTTGGTCCCCTCTTCATGGGTCTGACCTACCCTTACTTTGAAGCTCTTGGTGAGGTTTGATGTTAGTAGCACAGCCAAGAAGTTTTGCTGTACAAATATTTATATGAAGAAGAAGTGATGTAACAATGTGGATGATAGAAAGTTCTCAGAGATGTGTGCTGTGGGTAACCCACATACTTACGCTTGCCAAGACATATTTATAAACCTTTCATATTGAGTAGATGGCTTCATCACCGAGAGCCGAACTCTATTTGGTCAGTTACTGCTCAGCCAAGGCTTGTTTTAATGACGTACCGGTGTGATATCCGCATGGCACATAAACATATGGTTATACTTGTAGACTTTTATTTGATTTGCGGATACATAATGGTTTCCATGCAGAGGCGAAACATGAGGCATCTCTCCATTCTGCCTTTTCCTTTGTTTTAATTTGATCCCAGAGCCAAATTTCATCAGACACCATCACTAGCTAAAATAAAGACCTAGAATAAAATATCAGAGTGTTTTAAAGCTGGTTTCAAAGGGAATGGGGTTTATGGTCCCTCTCTGTGCATGTCAACTAGGATTTCACTGGCTTTGTACCCATGTGAGTGACAGATGTTGCCATTAAAAATCCATTAATAAATCATGCACTTAACAGATGTATCTCAGTAAATCTTTTTCAGAGATACGGTCAAAGCATTTGGTATATAAATAGTGCTTTGAGTTTATCCTGAAAGCCAAAGTTTACATAAAGTATTTAGATGATACTGCCCTTGTTCAACCTATTATTTGAGTTTTATTGGGGTTAAAACTGAAAATACAAAGTCTATTTTATAGCTCTATTGCTTGAAATATGGCTCTGCTTTAGTGCCATAAATGTAGGTTTTCGAGATACAAGTTGTATTTTAAGGTTCAGACAGAGTTAACTGTTTTAAGAGGATGGATGGCACAGCTATTACTGATGCAGTCGGGATCTATACGGCTAATCATTACCAGTATACCGAGACAGCACAGAACAGCTCTTAACTTCAGGAGTATGATAACTGAGGTATGCTAAAGCTGCATGAGTCCCACCATGCTGTTACACCTGTGCCTCCTGGACAATGACAGGTAAAAACAGATGTTCACAGTAGGACAAGAGGGTACAAATAAACAAGTAAACAAGTTAAGTAAACAGCCCCAACAACGTTAGTGCAACTCAGCATACAGTTTTACCACTAAAGAGTTAAGTTGGTATTAAATGGTTAATACCACCACTGTTAATTCTCCATCTCTCAACCATACCCATCCCCCCTCCGCAAGACTGGACACCCCCCAACCCCTCCACCCGCTGCTCAGTGGCATTCCAGCTGGCCAGATGGTGTCTGCTCCACTGTGCTCTGCTCTGCACAGAGGACACAAGAAAGAGAGAGAGAAAAACCCCACAAGCATGATTCTCTGGATGAGACATTCCTCCCACTGATCTCTCCTCCTCCCTCCCTCTCATGTCGCCTTCTTTCCCTGTTCAGTCTTGTCTGCATCTTACAGTGACCACTCTGGGGATGAAGTCCGTATTGGTAAGTTGTTGACAGGCGAAAAAAATCGCATTAAAGAGTTGCAAGGGGGAGACGCCTCTGACTGTAGTTAATGAGTAGGAAACTGAGAGCAAATAACAGTGGAAATAGGTTGTAATATACATTCAAACTTGAATATATGCAAATGTAGTCATATTATTATTATGGCAAGAATGTTTATTGATCTCTTACAAATAAAAAAGGCAGAAAATAAGCTTCAATATGTTTTCCTCAAATACTTTAAAAATAGAGGGAAATGGTTAACTTGACTGTAAAAAAAACAAATGCTAATTTTTCCGTTTTCACATAAAAAATTGACAAATTAATCATACTTGAGTGATAATGAGTTCGGGCACATTTTACCTATGGCAAAGGTTGGAGCTGTAACATCTGTACCATATATGACGGTGGCGGTTCGTTTCTGAGCCTCATAAACATCAATGAAAGGAATCCAGTACAGCACATTTTGTGTGTGTGTGTGTGTGTGCGTGTGTGTGTGTGTGTGTGTGTGTGTAAGCAGAAGAAACTCCAGCTCAATGTGGCTCTTTAAACCTCACTTCCTGCTTTGATCTGCAGCTTCCTCGATTGCAGCCAGGTTGAAAGAGTCAGGAGGAAATTCACTAAGAGTGGACTGCAGTGGTCCACTCTTAGCAAACACCCACAAAGGTTTGCAGCTCTGTGCAGTTTGAACCAGTTTTGTGTCCAGTTGTGACTGAGATGAGCTGTCAGCATCACCACTTTCTGCTGCACAGAGCTGCATTGTGTATTCACATCCTGTCAGTGCTAGAATTTTTTAGTGGAGGTGGTTCATGACAGACATGATCGTACTTGCACAATTTGTATCCAACAGATTTCCTGGTGTATACTGGTAAAAAGCAGCTCATTTATATAAGTGTGAAGCAGTTCCTGGTATAAACCAGCAAAAGAACAAAACACTAAGCCAACAAATAAAATTTACATTTCTCAAGAAATTAATTAAATTCTACCTAACGTTTGTATGTGTCTGTGAGAAATTGGTTGTTTTCCTGTGGGCCACATTTAATGGTTCCTTTTAAAAGCAGAAAGCAGGGAGACTCGGACAAAGAGCTAGACTGTAAAAAAAGATATGAGAAAAGGAGACATAGATGCCCCTCTATGTCAAACCCTGTGGAGTTTGAATGACACAAGCTGTTTCCCTGCTTAAAACGATTTCTCAAAGGCTAACCAGCACATTTTCTCTGCCTGGTAACAATAGTTGCCCCGCCTGGGGCAGGTCCTTACAGTTTTTACAGTGTCAGTTACTCGGGCAGAGCAGAGTGCAGGCATGAGCACCCAGGGGGCTGTTATGTCAACTGGCTCTCGGGTGACTGGCTGCAGTCAGCAGGACTTCTGGTAAAAGGGATTTGAGGGGGCTTGTGTCTGTGTGAGAAAGAGAGGGGAGGGATGGATTAGTCCCTGTTTTTTTGCCCCATCCTCCTCCTCCTCCTTCTTCTCCCCTCTTCAACAGATCTTGTCTCCCCTCTACTCCCCCCCTGTACCACCAGACTGGGGCCCCTTGGCACTCTGGAGACACATGCCCCACAAAGCCATCATATCCACCCCCACAAAAAGCCCTTTCTGTCCTCAGCCCCTTCCATCTTTTTCCTCTTTTCCCCTGCTCTCTTGACCTCTGCAGCTCCTCATTCTCTGGTTGTGCCCGCCCCTCTTCTGCTCTTTTGATCCTACACACCCCTCTTCTTCCTCCAGTCCTTCCTCTGTTTCTCCTCACTCTGTCCCCACCATCCCTTTCTCTCCTGTTCTATTTTCCTCTCCAGGGAAGAGTTGAGTCATGTGATTGACGTTTTTTGCCTTTGCTAAACAAACACACCCCTCCTGCCAGAATTAGCTCTTGGAGCTCTCTATTAGCAGAGGCTTGTTTCAACATGACAAAGTGTTGTGTGCCCCTACAATTACAATTAAAACTTAAGCCAGTGGTTGGATGAAGGCATGGTACTTAGACCGCCTTAAATGCTGAGAGATTGCTTTTTAATGAGGAACACATTTGGCGCTCAGTATGTGGTTGATTGTTGTATTAACGTGGCTTTAAATAAAATGTGACTCCCCCCAACATTTGGCCCCATTGCTGGCTGATTTCTGATGCATTTGTTTGGATCAGTTAGCCATATGTACAACACTGACTGGAGTTATTGGAATAGGGACCAGTGACCTGTATTAAGGCCTATCTGCTTGCAATGGTTAGTCACATGATATTGCAGTAATGCAGACACTTGCATACAAACATGCAACCTACCATTCCTGCTGTTTGGACATTTGTCAACAGCTGTTTTGATGTCACTTTTTCGTCATGCTAATTGTACAGAATGACTGCAAGATTTCATTTATCAAGTAGGGCTGGGCGATAAACTGAAAAATTATGCTACCGAAATTTACGACAATGTGACTCCACCCCATCCAGTTCGTAACAAAGAGGGAAAGACAGGTGAAGAGATGGAGGACGGTTCAAAAGTTGTAGCGGCTGGAGCGTCAGTTAAAGTTGGCAAAATTAATGCAGAATGGGGTTAGCAGCTTGTGGAGTAGTTATCATCCATTTATCGTTATCGAGGTAAACTGCTCAATACATCGTGATATTGATTTGAGGCCATATCGCCCAGCCCTAATATCAAGCCTTTAATCAGATTTGCAGATTTGAGATCATGCAGATCAAAACATGCAGATAATACCCAAGGAAGTCAGTCAAGTTCCCTAGACTGTGTCCCTGTCTATTGCCTTTGCTCAGAAGTGACTTCCTGCTTTTGTTTCACACCTGAGTGGTTCCTAAAACTGACCTGTAACTTCCATGAGATTTTCTTAAATGTGGGTTAACGGCACATCTTTATCCTGTTCTCTTGCCAAACCATGCTGAGCACCTGTGTTTTTTCTCAGTGGAGCAAAGTTTCCACTCTCCACCCTCTTTCCCTGGAATAATATGTGTCAGGCTCCATCTTGAACTCTCGTTTTTTTTCTTTTTTCCTTTCCTTTTTTTTTTTTTTAGCATAAGATGGCCAACATCTTAAAAGTCTCTCTAACTGCTTGTAATTGTGTTCCTTAAGATCCCTGAAGGGTTGTAATGAAACAGACCTTTTTCACACCTTGGTTCAAACATGGCTCTCCAGTGACCACACATGATCTGATCTCACTTGATACAAATTATTACAGAACTCCATTCATCCTTATTCACTCTAAAACCATAAGACATAAATGATGGTAGCTTTTTTCCAACACAGGGTTAAGGCTGAGCAAACACTGGTACACACAGATTCACACACACATTGTACAAGCAGCAGCGTGGGGAGTAAGTGATCGCAGACTGATTTCTAACTTTTGTTTGATTTTATGAAACTTGGAGTTCCTGGTGTGTCATTTCTGTAGTTGAGCTTTGCTGCATTGATAAACTTTGACAATTGCTTGTTGTTGATTGTGGTGTGCACTGCAACGCAGGACAGATCATGCTGTTTATGCAGTAGTAGACAGACCATGAAAAAAAAGACAGGTCTGTGTTGTATCTGCTTGTCTCCTGTCATTATCTTCAAACACCATAACAAACTTCTCAATGAACAAAGCTGTTACTGATGTCTCCTACTCTCCTCCTCAGCTTGGGATCTTTCCATAATTAAAAAAATGGGAATGAAATACAGGCCTATCCTGTTTCTACAGGCCTATCCTGTTTCTTAACGGGAAAAAAAAAATCTAAAAGAACCTTTTTTAGATTATTTTTTTTTAACTACAAACTGGAGCCTGTTGTATTAAGGAATTAAAAATGTATCAGGAAATTAGACACAATCCTCCTCTGCGATTAAATACTGACCCTGTGATTTTCTGCATACTTTGTTCAGTGCAAAAAAATACGTCTCTGCATGTTGGACCCAGCAGACATGAGCATTTATACTACCAGACCAGTGCAGACAAATGCCTCCCAGACCACCTCTGAGGGACTGGAATCAGCACTTAAAGAGTTAAGGCTTGTCAGTTGTGGGCTGATAATCCAGACTGGACTTTAATGTTTGGTGTAAATGGGGTCAGGGTGTTGGAGCCGGACAGAAACCCTTACTGTGCTGTCTACGTCTTATCTAGTGTAAATTTTAAATCCAATAGTGGTCACAGTACGCACAGATTTAGGGGGACATTTCTATGGTGTTAGGTTGGAGTCACAAAGGTATGAACCAAAAGCCAATAGTACGTAAAGGTGAACTTTACCTACTATAGGGTTTGATGTTTGTATCTGCCTTTGATTTCTTACTTTGTTGCATTAGTGATGTGAGGCCTGTCTTAAAACAGATAAGAGAATTGTGGGTTCTGCGGTTATCCTAAAGACAGGCTGTCACTCATTGAATCTTCAATGATTTCTAAACTGAACTCAAATCCACACTTCTAAACCTTGGCGTGTTATTCCTCTGTCAATTTCAGCTTCACTTTAGTTCTCTTCCTCAAGAAAAGCTCCTGAGTTTTTCCACAGCCAAGATCTCCTGTGTTTCCCATGTAAATCTGCTATTTATGAGCAGGGTGTAGCCTACATTCCTGCACTGTCCTCCCGTGTGGACATGAGAATTCTGAGTGAATACACAGAGTGGGCTGCAGGTTGACTTAAGCCTCTGAGGCAGCTGCCTCTCTGACTCTTTGTCTTGAAAAAATCAGTTAATTGATATATGTTCTCCTTTTCTCATGAGGAAGCTGCCCCTACTACTTCTACATGTACATAGAATCATTGGTCTATAAGCATGATAACAATGATGTAATGAAATATTTGAAATACAGTTGGTAAAACCAAGTCAAATCAAGTACAATCTAGCTATAGATACCCTTAGGATCAACTTAACACCTGGTTGGTTTCAAGGGAATTTAAGTCTCTAGTAGTTGTATAGCATCCAACGATATAACATCCACAGTGGTGCTAAAATTGAAGTACTGCACTTGCATGCATCTGACACACCTAAATGAATAAAATTGTCTCCAACTGTCTTTGCTGTTGCAACTTCTGCATTTGTGGTTCACTGCATCTGTCACTGGGTGTAGTAGTTATGTAATCTCCTGAAGCTGCTCTTAATCACAGAGAGTTTTGGCAGAGGAGTAAATATTTAAAGATGGGAAAATAGTGCAGTACTTATACGAGGACATAATGACACTTGAACTGATATGCTTTGAGTGCACAGGGGATGTCTGGCTGTCAAGTTTCCTCACTGTCCTTACACATCCTGTCCCTCAAGAGAAGTTTTGGACATCAGCCAAGCTTATGAGCAGCATTTCCTGGATAATGGAGCTTCTATGAAGGAGGATGCCGGGCTGGGTCAGGAAGTGACACACTTGGCCTTTGTTAGAGATCTTTCTCTCATTGCCAGTAACAGCTCCCAATGGGCGGCATAGGTTCAGAGAACAGTCTGGTGATATTCTGGAAAAACAAGGTCTTTGTTTGTTTACATGCCCTTGAGGAGCAAAAATAATATTGTGTGTATGAATTAACAGGTATGAATTAGCAGATATAACTGGTATAACTGCATTCCAAACAAGGCGCATGCAGTGTTGTCAGTAAAAACAAGGCACTCGCGTGCTTGGATAATTATCTTCCTTTGTGTTTTACAAGAAACGCCTCACTAAGCGCTTCAACAGTCCATCAAAACAAACATACATTTGCTTTAACATGATACTAAGAAATTAAAACCAGTTTGTCATTCATCTATTTTTATTTAACTCTGAACATGGTCATTCTTTTCTCTTGCTAAATCATTGTTAGCACATGAGCTTTTATTAAGGACAATCTTGATAAATGTAGTCCTGCATTTATCAGCCCACTTGTTTGTAATAACCATAAATAGGTAAAGACAACCAAAACAAATACTCTAGAGTGAGCTCACATTTGCTGATAGGACTCATGGTTGTGAACACATGACTCACACTTTTGTGTTTTCAGTCCCCCTACTTGCCTAAAATAACACACGATGTTTCCAAACAAAGCAGGCTTGATGTTCTGGGTCTCCATGGACTAGAGCTTTAGTGTACTGTTTAGCACTCCTTTTATAGGTAATGACCTGGGTGAATTATGTAAGCGTGTGCACAGTCCTGAAATCAACATCTGAACTCAGAATGGTTTTTGCCTTCATAAGGAAATTCACTAGGTTTGGAGTGCCATGCAGTTCAGAGATTTTCAGATACACTTTTTCCTTTCCCGACAGCAAATCAGATACTGAGTTTTGAGGATTTGCCAAGTCCAAATACTAGTCCAATCCAATATCCATTGCATATACCTGAAAACATCCTGCACTTACATACTGGCATTTTTAAGTGCTTTTATTAACATATGTGGGCTAAAATCAGCAGCAGCTCTTTTCTTGACCTCTACTGATGTCCTTAATATAGAGGGTGGCTCTAACATTTTTATAAAACCAACTTATGCAGGGCTTTCATTAAATCTTTCAGTCTTAATTTTGAATGAAGATGAAATAAATCCCTAAAATGAGGGATGAAGAAACACCCTAGACCTTATATAACACACTCTTTAGTCTCTGGTATGTCACCCACTTGTTTCTGACAACATTTTAAGGCCTAATGATAGCTGTCCCACCCATCAGTCAAATCAGGGTGTGTAAGAAAACAATGCTACTAAAGCTGTAGTAGCATGTGTTGTAGCAGCTGCATGATCTGAAAAAATAAATGCCGCAATATCACAGGATGGGAAAAATGCGCTGATGTGAACGCTTGTATTGACAGGATACGGGTTCGGAAAAAAATATTGACAACCGAAATGATCGCACAACAAAAACGGTCCTGGTATGAAAGGACCTTAAGACTTGAAAATTATGATATATCATGAGTATTTCTGCACCTTTTAAAGGACCAATTGGTTCTCATGTCATCATTCATAAATATGATCTTGTTTCTGCTTTGTCCAGGATACTTGCCGTTGGACTTACTGTGTTGGAAGTGGTCGGTGTTGCTGATTTGTTAATCTGACAAGCAGCTGGTTGTTCTTGATTTTTGCAGTTCATACATTTCCCAGGGCGACTGTGTCTTACATCCATGGGTTTATAATGAGAAACAGACATCATGTAATCGTCCATCAAGGTTATAGTTTATAGTCAGACTGCTTTTAAATCCACACAAGGGAGGCACTGTTTAGCCAAGAGCTGTTATGTTAGGTGGAAAAGGGATAGGAGAGGTCAAGGTGAAACCCACACACACAAACACTCACATATCCTCTGATATCTACACTGATTTCCTGGGTTAAAATTTCAAGGCCTCATTCTTTAGGAGGGCTTCATTCTGCGTTGGTTCTGGAGCTGAGCTGAGTTTCAAGGGGTCATAGAGGGTACACCAAAGATTTGTCATCAGTATAGGAAAAATCTCTTGAGGTCAGCTAATTTATTTTACCTTATGATCGTACTTTTTCTCCTTCTTGACCTATTCTTCACCTGAACTCTTTCTTCTCAACAATCTCATTACTAACATTGTCCAGACACAGCTCTCTCACTCATGTTTTTCCCATGCACCTCCATGCACCATTTTTCCTCGCCACAAATGTGGGAACCTGTGTGGCGTAATGTGAGGGATACCATGGGGATACTTTGTGCCCCCCCATGTAAATACCGTCTTTTTAATTTAATTTTTCATCTTGCCCACAGCGCTGTGAGCACACTTGTATTGTAAGTAATCTTGGAAAAGCCCCTTTTCTTGAATGCAGCAATCAGAAACTAAACTGTGCACACATAACTTAAATCTGGTTTGTCAGCTGGCAAAGCCCTTGTGTGGGAGCACTTTTTAAAACCTCTGCATCTGAGCCATGTGCGGTTTCTCTGCTCTATGAACACTTAATGGAACCAAATGAGCTCAGCCCAACTCCTTTAAATTCAACTCATTAGTTATCGAAAAGCCAAGCATTATTAAGAATCCTATTTTTTACCTGTGTTGGATGTAAAAGAGGAGATGTCAAACCGATTTTTCTTCTTTAAGACACATGCAATTCAAGTCTGTCCCATCATGCATTGGTGGAGATGCTGTATAAACTTAGAAAGGTTGCCAAGTCCATCACAGGGCTAACACATTCACACTTAAGGGCACTCATTTTGTTTGTAGTAAATACTGACTCATTATGAGGTGGGATAATGTTGAAGAGGTGATTATTCCAGGCACAGAGCCCAAGTTATGTAAGGGCTAAAATTGGATGAAGATGTTATAGGATGTGTGATTCTTCTTCTCTCCTCCTCCTCCCTCTCTCCAACAGGCTCCAAGTGAGCCGATGAAGTAGAGGTTATATGAGAGTCTCTCTGCGGTGGTCGGCGGTCTCTGAGCAGAGCTGGCTGACATCATTCTCACAGGGGGGGTGATGGTGTTAGCTGGGGCAGGGCAGGGCAGGGCTTGGAGCTCTACAGCAGAGTCAGTTTGATTTGAAAGCTGAGGAGGTGCATTGAGATTTACAGTTACAGAGCTCCTGTCTTGTCAAATTTTCTCTCACATTCTTGAGACACTAATAATGACTTTTTTTTTCTGTTTGCAGCACTGGGATGATTTTGATGGAGTAAGACACCTCTGTTAGCGGAGTCCTACATACTTGGGTTTGGACCACCGAGTAGCAGCATTGAATCTTCTCACCTGCACTTAAACCCTGAAATGGATGGGGTAGACACCTTGCAGAGCTCGGCCCCTGAAACTAAGGCTGAGCGAATCGCTCGCTACAAAGCAGAAAGGAGGCGGGAGCTTGCCGAGCGCTACGGTAACACAGACGAATTCACCTCCAAATATGTCCGTAAAGATCGGAAGATCGGCGACGAATCTGAAACTGTGTCTTCAGAACCAAAAGAGACAGAAAAACATGAGGATTATGCATCAGAGAAAGGTTATACCAGGAGAGGCCTCAGGAATAGAGCAGCTGCTGAGCACACTGAGGATGAGAGTAACCAGGAGAGAGAGGATACCACTCAGCTCAAAACAGACACAGTCACATCAACAAAGACATCCTCGCTATCCAGGTGAATTTTTTTTTCTCTTATTTTCACAAGAGTTTTTCCAATTCTATTACCGGCATTGGCGCCTGTCTCTTTAATCGAGATATCTAAAAAATGAGATAACATTCTGACACAAATTTACTGACTTTGATCTTTAAGCTTGAGTCTTAGCTAGTGTCCTTTATGGTATACGACGTGCACCCTACCTTTCCTCCTGTGCCCTCAAACAGCTCTCACTTTCAGGTCATGACTATATCTCAAACTAGTGTGGAGCAAAGTTTGGAAACGCACACTGTGGATTAAATTACGGACTGTTGAATCTTCAACATGATGTGCTACAGCGGAAAACAACTATCATGCAGCTGCAGGTGGAGAAAAGAAAGCAGGAAGAGGAGGAGGAGGATGTGCACATTTGTTTCTGAAAAGCCAAAGGACAGTGAAAGCAAGAGTCTGTAGCGATCATGAGCATTAATGAGCTTTAACTAGCATTTGCCAGGCCCAACAGGTGTGCATGAGGTATAAGTCAAACCTGTAAAGTGTCAGCAGTTATATCTTTACAGATAACATACCTTTTTTTTTTTTTGCCTTGGTATCTTCCGGTTACTAAAAAATCCTCTTGGTGTAGAGGGAAAAAAAAGGTTTGGTAACATCTGAATTTTCAGAACTAACCCTGATCACATACTTATGTTCACCAATAAGTCTTGATCTGCTCAAGTTTCTGTGAGGTTAAAGAAGTTGTGTTTAGCCACTGCCGCAAAATGATTGCTTTAATGTTGGGTTAAAACATGTCTGATTGAAATGTGCAAAACAAATACAAATGATTGGATTGGAGGCATCTGATGCCTGTTTGTGTAAGACTAAGCATAGTTTTGTTCTTTTTGTGACATAAACTTGGCCAAAGACTTGATTAGAAAGAAGCAAAGGTGACAAGGGACTCTTAAGGCATCCAAGGAATTAATTGTAATACAAACATCATGTGTTAGAGTCACACGATTTTTTCCCCCTGTAGTAAAAGTTGAGTTGAGCACATACCCCTGAATGTTCAGATCATGTTAATTTGATGTTATCCAGTACGGTGGCTTATTTCTGAGACATAGCTTGATATTCAGACCAGCTATTAAAGACTGCAATGGATTACTGTAAAAGGGCTCACTGACTCCTAATGACTGAAGAGGAGGCAACAAGTCGGCACATTTGCAGTACAGTGAGTGCTGTATCTGCTGTTGGAAGTAAACACGGCTGCCAGCACTTCCAAAATTGGCCATGTTGCAAAGCTCACTGCCTCATGTATTTTGCCATGCGATGTTTTGCACTAATGACATGAACCCAGCTTGTTTTTGTTTTGTTTCAAAGCGACGTGGGGGAACTTTAAGACTTCCACATGTTTGACACTTTTTTAATGATAAAAAACAGCAGTTGTCAGAACATTCTTTGTTCCCTTTCAGTCAATTCTCTTTTCACATGTGCTGTCAGGCGCTTCTCTCTGGAAAAAATGTACACAAATGGAGTAAAACATGACCAGTCGTGTGTCTGGAGATGTTTTGGCTGTAAACAAGCAGAGGATTCTGCCATGTGCGCATAGTCAGACCTGTCTGTTCTTGAAAAACAGCCTGAGGGAATGAAGAGGGGGTGGAGAAGAGCAGAGATGGGCATAGTGTTAAGATAAAGTCAGAGATTTTGGCTTGCAGGGTGAGGTGGGATTATTAGGCTCTGCCAAGTTTTCATGCCCTCCGCTTAATGAAGCAAGCCATCTTGATAGCTGCGAGATGGCCAAATATGAACGGGAAAGGGCATGTGTTGTATTGTTGAAGAGTTGAATAAGAAAGAAAGAATGTGCAGCAGTGCATGTTTCAGCAAATCTCAGTGTAGCAAAGTGTTTTACTTGCTAATCTCATCATTTAAATGCAGTCTAAAAGGAGCTTATTTCTCTCAGAGTTGGCTCACCACAACCAGGACAGGGAGAATATTTGGGGAAACCCAGGGTTAAGTCACACAAAAAAGTTATGGCTCACTTTTTTAATTACAGGGCGCATAATCACAGATTGACGTGCTCATGTGTTTGTCCACATGCCTGTCTTTCACGTTAGCTATAATCTTGGCAAGTTTGTTATGAGGTAAGCTATGTGTCAGGATCATTGTGAAGTATCTTAAGCATGCAGGCTAACTCAACATGCACTGAAAGATACAGTAGAAACCTATTCAAAGATGTAAGTTAATTTTTCTCCTCCTTAAATGAAGTTTCCAGATGTTGAATGGTGTCACCTTCCTCCTTTTAAAGCATCCTTAAAGATTGCTTATTGTGTTGTATGTTTATTTAAAATGTCCCGATTAGGGCTGCACCTAACGATTATTTTTTTATCGATTAATCTAACGATTATTTTTTAGATTAGTCGACTAATCGATCGATTAATTTATTGATTATTCTAACGTTAATTTTTTTTTATTAACCGATTAATATAACAATAAATTTAACCAAAATAACAATTAAAAACTTGTCCTATTAGTATTTTATTACCACTGCTCAGATGGTAATGAAAAAATAGCTAAGATATGTCTTGAACTTATTTAGGCCGCTAATATTAGTGTCCTCATATGTTTTACATGACCTCCCGTATGAGGCTCTCTGAACATCTGTGCGTGCAAGATAGCACTCTTTTATCTGAGGCTGCCCTGAACGCATCACTCCGAGATGTCACAAGACTATCAACGTAAATATTATGTTTGTTTCCCTGTCACTGAAGTGTTCATTTTGCAACAAACACTGCTTAAATATAGTTTACAGCTTAAACCGACCTGAATCATCCTAAATTGTAAAGTGAAAGTATCAATCCAGTGTCAGTGATGCTCAGCAGAAACACAGGACAATCTTCAATTGTCTGGAAACCTGAAAACTTTGGACAAATATAGTGATCCAATTCATGAATGAACATGGACCATCAAACTACGGGAAATTCCCCGGAGGAATGACAATACGGAAGGTGGGTGGGAGATAGGTCTGAAATACGGGAGAGTCCGGAAAAAAACGGGAGTGTTGGCAGGTATGGTATCAGTATACATATGTGCAGCGGAGCTTGGGTGCGCCGAGTATTAGCGAGCTATCATCGGCGATCACACAGCTAAATAATTAGCGAGTTATAGGACAAATAAAAGCACAAAACTGATGCTTCAACTCCGAGCTAACTGCTTAAAGTGAATGAATTAGATATGGGATGCAGTGCATATGATGCAGCGTTCACTGTGGCGTTTGCTGCACCAGCGGTGGGTTATTTGGTTGACAGGTCACTGCATGTCTCCTTGAATGAAAGCAGCGCGTTCTTGGAAATGTGAACAAGGAAGCCAGGATTAGCCACCATTACCTGAAGTAGCCATTGTCTACGTCATCTTGCGACGTGTATTTTTGTTGTCGATTACGTGGACTACGTAGACAATGAGTTGCCGCGATGAACCAAAATGCTAAATTAGAACCAAGTAGCAAACAACTGCGTAGCAGCAAGCTGCAGCAACACGCAACCATAGCACTTTTATCACATGAAGCCGACAGCGCTGTCGGTGAGATGAATGGAAATCAGTGCTACCCCCAGCAGAAATGCAGATGAAGGCTCAACAGATGACGACATTGTCAACAACACTGGTAAAAAAAACATTGGTGGTGTGGAGTTGTTTTGGTTTTTTGAGGTCAGACATGAAGCAAAGTAATGTGCACTGCAAATTATGTCGAGTACATGTTAACTTAACAAATTTCATGTAAAAGTAACCGGAAATATTTAAGATTGACAAGTTATTTTTTTATATCGTGATATATATTGATATAACTGATATGAAAAAAATATACAAACTTTTCCCTTATCGCCCAGCCATAGTTCCTATATTCTCTTGTGTTTGTACCTCACATATCAACTGAGCCTTCATACATGACATTTGCATGCCTGTCTGTTCTGCTACAGAAATAGCAACAAGGAAACTGGGACTCAACTTTTCAAGAGATAATGAAAACTGTCAACAGTTTTGTCTGTGACAGACAAGAATCCGTCTCTGGTAGTTGAAGGAGGACATTCTTCAGGTGCTTCATTTTGGCTCTAACAATTAACTGTCAATCAAAATTTATTGTTAGTAGTTAACGCAAACCTTAAAAGAACTCAATGCACTTGTCAAGAAAACACGTGTTTGTTGTTTTGCTTGCACTGTCAGTGCAAATGTCTTTCATCTAAAGGTAGCGTGCATGCATTGCAGTTGAAGTTCTCAGAATTGTTGGTCTGCCAGTAAGAGATGGCTTGCTTTTCCTCTTAGCCACAGTCGCACCTAGAAAATGTCAAAAAGTTTGACATTTTAGAAGACATATTTTGGGTTTAAAGTAATTGAGCTTTCTCCACATTGTTCCCTATAGCCAAATAGATTACAAAAGGAAAGAAGGAAAAGACTGAGCAAGATTTGAACCAAGTTTTGTTTACATGGCTAAACTAGTGAAGAGTTTAAGGACCCAACACATGAGGGAGCAACTTTTTCAAAAGTTAAGCACACAAATTAGAGACACTGAAATGGAGTCTTTTAACAACCCCACGGTCATGATTACATCCTTTCTGTACTGTAACTTGATCTTCTCAGTAAGACATAATTAAAATGAGCAAGAGGCAGCTTACTGTGTTTGATTTTTGACTTGTCTGCCTGTTTTTGAATGTTTGTTCATCTTTTTTCTCTCGACTTAGATGACAGACATGGTTCAAAGCTCAGTATATCACATAGCCATGGATTACTGTTTAGTGCATTGCTTTAATTATTGTTATAACCGCATCTTTTTGAAATCATCAATTACAGTTCCCATCTAACATGATGCTTTTTCACACACCATGAATGCTTTATCCTGGCATTTCAGATTCCACTTTTTCACAGAGTTTTACTGCGGCTGACCAAACCTGGTAAATATTCCTGTGGTTGCCAAACCTAAGCCCACAATTAGTCATAATCATATACTGCTGTATAAGTCACTTTTGGAATGGATCAACATGACACCCTACGAAGAAAATGTCTGATGAGATGAGATTCTTACCCACAGTTAAATTGTTATTCTCCTCAATAATAAAACTGCAGTTGCTCACACCAGAGGGGCTACAGCCTGCAGGAAGTAGATGTGGGTGATGTGGCAAAAATATCATATCACAAGTTTTTTTTTACAGCAGCATCACAAACATGGCCTTTTTTCATGTCAGTGAAAGACTATTTAAGAAGTTATTGACCAGTTCAATCACTCCTATTTGAAGTGTAGTCAATAGTTTTCAATGATGAGAGAAAAATAGACCATTTAAGCCGAATAAGCTTTTTCAGTACAAGTAATTTGGCTTACTCCAAACTACAGTTGACTTTAAATGAGAATATTGACACTGATCAGACTTGAAATTTGCTCGATCCTGCTCTTTTTTGATTGATTCATAAGTTAACATTGGTTAATAAAGGTAAACAACACAAAGGTTAGTGCAGTCTTGCTAGAGGATAACTCTCCAGGGACATATGGTAGATCTTCACAGTCTAAGACAGGTACAGGCAACTGTAGGCAGTCAAAACAAATACAAGTCTACCTGAGGATTTATGGTATGCAAATATATGAACTAAGTTAAAAGGAATGAGGAAGAAACAAAGACAAAGAGGAATTAGGGAAGAAAGAAAAAAAAGGAAAAAATAAAGGTAGGAAGGAAGAATGGAAAAAAAGAAATAAAGGTAGGAAGGAAAGGAAAGAGAAATAGGCAGTAAGAAAGGAAAGGTGGAAGGAAGAAAGGAAGTCCAAAAAGTTAGGAAGAAAGAAAGAGAGAGAGGAAAAAAAAACATTCAGATAGAGTGGCTGTTACCCCCTGACTTTAAATCTGTGTTATACACCACACCAGCTCTCATGAGATTTGTAGCGATAGCTTATGTAATTACCTGCAGTTGATTTGCATACCGTGAGGTTTGGTTCAGCTGCAGTTGCTCACTGATATACACCATAAAACAGTTGAATGAAACTGCTTGTTTACTTTGTGTACTTCAGAGCTCACAATGCTGCAGTCTAATGGACTACAGAACAGCGCTCTATTATGTACCATATATAGGGTGTCATTAAGGGCTGTGACTTCATTTGGCCGTTACCAAATTACGTCAAACCCACAGATCAGATCAGCCTGAGACAATCTCCCCTTACTCAGTGGCCTCTGACCCTCCCAGATGTCCACCAGGATCCTCTTTTGTGTGCAAAGCTCTCCCCTCCTCCTGTTACATCATAGCTGCTACCCCACAGGCAGCTGCTGTCCCCATCCATATTTAACGCCCATTACTTAGAGCTGAATGGACATCTTCAGACGCTGCACAGGCAGTGTGCTGTTCTGTCATTGCCAGCATGAGAGTGGAGGAGCAGCATGAGTAAATGTTGTTACATGCTTATCAAAGGGAGCACAGTAAGTAGCTTTGTTTAGATTTGTTGACAACCAGGGTTATAGTCTCTAAAGTGGTTTGACCTGACATATTTGGTTCTATTTGTCTGTCTGGTTCACTTGCTGAGGTTGGACTTGTTATTTCTGTCATTGCTTCAGTACATAAGAGAATAACCTCACTTGCCTCTATCTCTCTTTCTCTCCCTCCACCAGGCTGCTGGAAACTGATGACACAGAGGAGCCAAAGGGTAAGATGAACCCTTCACTTTCACTGTACTCACTTCCTCTATTGTTTCACAGACACTGCTTTGTCCCTACACTCATCCAAGTTCTCTGAAGACTGAGCTCATGCCTGATGTCAGATCACCTACCTGCTTTTATAGATGCTGGCTGTTTAATTCTCTGCCACTGGGGAGAGGGAGTGAAGGAAAGCAGATCTGCTGATGTGTTCGGCTCTGTTTTGTTTGGAGTGTAATTGAAACTGAATGTTTTGCCTCAGGCGCTAGTTTTCTTTTCTAAAAGCTGAGGGAGATAATTTTTGGCACGTGTCTGGCGTTTTCATTCAAAGAGCATGACTTGGTGCGCATGCATACTCTTGTGTGCCTATGTGTTTCTGTGCAAATCATATAAGAGCATACTAGAAGCCTGTTTCAGCCAGCCGCTATTATGGACTAATTTTGGAGCCTGCTGTGAAACACAAAAAGAATACGTCTGGGGGTACACACACACACACACACACACACACACACAGTGTTTTGGCAGTTTTTTTTGGAATCACAGTCAGCCACCTGAGCCTCAGCCTGATCCTCTGTCTGCTTAAGTGTCCTTCTGCCTTTTTGTCCATTCTTTGACCTTCCAAATTGTTTTGTTTTTGTGTCTTGTGTGTCTACTATCTGTTTTTCAAGGACTGTACTTATGCATGCTTCCAAGTGCTGGGACTGAAAAGACAGAGGCGACAGTTGACTGTCTGGTAAACCAGATTGACTAAATTTCATTTTTAGTTTGAGTCTCATTATTTTATTTCATCATGCAGGGAGCAACTTCCATGTTAAGGTCATGTTACATACCAGTATTCTTCTGTTTTTCCTCCCAAACATTGTTTAAATATGGTAGTCTACCTTGACTTTCTCCATGCACATGTGCATTACACAAATAAAGCATGTCTGACAGAGCTGGTGAAGCCTTGTGCAAATAAATTCCAGGTTTTATCCAAACACTTACAAGCATGTCTGACTTGTGTACCTTCTTATCTACAGGTTTGAACTTTTGGTTCAGGTCCACACAGGTCCACTTTTTTTGTAAAATAGGTCTGGCATGTGATGAAAGTTTTGCTGTACCATTTAAATTCAGCTCAAAGAAACAATCATTCGTTCTCTGTATTCAGCTGCATTAGGGCTGGGCGATATGACCTCAAATCAATATCACGATATATTGAGCAGTTCACCTTGATAACTATAAATGGACGATAACTACTCCACAAGCTGCTCACCCACTCCTACATTGACTTCGTCTACTTTAGCTGCCGCTCCAGACTCTACAACTTTTGAGCTGTCCTCCATCTCTTCACCTGTCTTTCCCTCTGTAGGTCCTTTCACACTAGGAGCATTTTTTTCGTGGGATTATTTCGGACGTCAATATATATTTTTTTAACCTGTATCCTGTCAATACAAGCGTTCACATCAGTGACATGTTCCCGTCCTGCGATTTCGCGTCATCATGTGTATAGTCAGGCGTCAAAATTCGCCTCAGAATATTTAGTATATTTGCGTGCGTCGTTTCCAGTGTGTAAGGACCTTTTGTTACGGACTGGATGGGGTGGAGTCACATCTCCGACGTAGGACAGCTTCTTAAAGGGACATGAGACCATAGCCTACCTACACACATCCAAAACCAACTTTTATTTATTTATTTGACACAGAATATATTGATATGAGCAAAATGGTGTTGGTTGGTTAAATGTCGGTATCGGTATGTTTGGTTTATCGCCCAGCCCTAAGCTGCATGTTGCCTCATACGTAAAAACATATTGGTCTTGAACTTGTTCAAACTGTTGAACTACTTTATCTTGAACTAATGCATTTTGATGTTTATTATGGTTATTTTATTTCTAGAATGAATTGAAGAATTTTAAAGTTAGGCATTGAAAAAGTCAATGTACTACGAGTAAAGCCTGATGTCCATAATGTGCGCAAAACAACCAAAAACCCCCAGAAGTGTATGAGGCAAGTAACATGTGTGAACACTAAGCAGCAAAGGTACAGGAAAAGTAACAATAAGCAATCAGTGTTTATCTTCTGTGATAGTGTGTAGACAGAGGAGAGAAAAGCAGTGATTTATTGCAGCTGGCAGAGAATCCTGTGAACCAGAACTCATCTCATGGTCACATCAGGGTTTCCCCTTCAGCTTCTAAATCAGCCGTTCCGTTAATTCTGCTGTAAAACAAACGATAAGGAATTTGATTTACTCTATACATTCCCCTTATAGTATGTGTCCATATATGTGGCCGTTAAAAGGCCAAAGGTCGATCCTTTAAGTTCCCTTTAACTGAGCAAAGATTGATGAAAACACTTGTGGAAGTCACTAAACTGAAGTGGGGGTTTTTCCATCTCTCTGTTTTTTCTTTTTTCTCTCTGCTGGCTGGTTGGATGATGATGATGTAAGAAAGTTTGGACTGGAGTCAAACGTGAATGAGTACAGCCCGAGTGGAATCACCAGTCTGAGATGTTTCATCATCGCAGCTAAATCAAGCTAAATTCTGGACTGCAGGGGAGCCTGACAACATAAATCAAAATATAGTACTCAGCTCCAGTGTTTTTGTTTCCACCAGAAAAGAGGAGTTTGTTAGGGACTGGCCATTATTTGTGATGGTTCTGCTTCTTTGTTTTCTTAGGAGGGGGAAATCTTGGCTTGAATTGTGAGGTTGAAGGCAATAAAAACGCATTAAAAGTGGGAGAATGATGTTGGTTCTGCTGACTTAAGAAATGTGTGTTGTTGTGGAATATCATTAAATTTAATAGTTTCCTTTTGTTTCGGATTAGAAGATTATATTCTCAGGCCTGTTTTTGATTAGACTACTCCCATGAATAAGTATCTTTCTCTCTCCCACATAAATACACACACAGCAATGATATCCCATCCGTTTTAAGTCCTGTATCTCACACTTAACCCTTAACTCAGGATGTTTTTTCCTCGCTTGAATGTCTGAGGCCAACAGAGCTCAGAAACTTTTAAAACTCAAATCAAATCAAAGAGAACTATTGAGACATTCACATCCTTTTTTGATACAGTGACTCATTAGAAGCACAGGTGAGGTCAGTGACAAGTTTCAGGTCTGCATTTCTTGGACTGGATCCCCTGACATCAAAACTTGACCTAGAAAGATACCACTGTATGTTTATGTATGTTGGTGTGCACCGGATAGCTTCAATTGCCCAGATAAATAAAGCATTCCTTGACTGATATAGAAAGACTAGGGTGTAGAGGAGATCTTCTCATCGATATCAACAAAGCCATATGCATGTGCCACACTAAACAAACCTTATGCATCTTCAAATCAAGTTTTAAGATCTGACCGATGAAATGGTTTGTTTGAGCATTTTTAGTCACACTGTTGTTTAAATGGAAAACACTTGTGTGTTTCTTCCAGCTGAAGAGGAGACCGAGGAACCAGCCAAGAGGACTTCCAAGACACATCTTTTTGAGGTAGAGTTTCCATGATTCTAAAATTCACTCATTTGAATTTATTTTAGTTCAAAGCTGCTGCCCTGGTTGATCAATTTATCTATCTGTCCGTCTGTCTGTCTCATTCTCTCTCACACTGGCTTCAGAGCTTCTGGCAAAGAGCTGATTTTAAGATCCTAACAATAAAAAGCACTATGCTTTATTGACCTTTTCTAAAATGTTAGTAGGTTAAAAAAAACACTGCATTTATAGAGTTAAAAAAATAGATTTTTTTTATTGCAAAATACAGTGTGAGGCACAAAGGAAAAATATTGGTGTGTTCATTTTTTCCAGTATCTTTCAGTCTTAGATGATACTTTAGGCTAAATTGAAAGAGTGGCGACAAACCTGCTCCCTGACAGTGACACCTAAAGTTCTCCCTCCTGACAAGGTACAGAATAGGTCGTAAAGCCCCCGAGGAAAGGCGTATCTTGGTTGACAAAAGGGTGTCAACACTGCAGGTCCACCATCTGATTCTTACTGCACAGACTTTAGCTTCAAAACCTTCCCCACCCTTAGTGCCTGTTGTGCAGGACTTCATTTATTTTTTCACAAAAGAAGGAAATGGTTGTCGTTCATTTTTATGTAGTACAGTCAGTAGTGTAACCAACAAGCCTTTGAGATGGGGAAATTTTGTACAGTCATAGAGGATAAGCCAGCTGCCTGATGGTGATAGTAAATCCTTTCTAATTATAAGGTCGTGTGTGTACAAAACCACACTGCCTTCTTTCCTGTTTTTACATGGGCTCAGTTTAAAAAAAAGAAAAAAGCATGCTCCATGTGAGAAAGTTAAAATGTGTTTATATGTGCCTTTTATTGATGCTGAGCACCAAAAGTAAAACATCATGAAACAAAGGACATTTCTTTTACTGCTTCTTTGTTAGTGTGTGGTGCCTTTAAAATGTGTTTAGAGTTACTGGTTGCAGTTTTAATGAAGGTTGTTGAATGTTGATGCCTAGTCGGTATCTGAGGTCTTTTGTTTTATTTTTTTGTTTTTTTGAATACTTTATTTATTCATTTTCAAAATACAAAGGTACATAACAACACAACAACCCGAACAATTACCCCTTTCTTCCCACTCCCTCCCCAAAAGCAAGTTGGAGAGGGAAAAAAAACAAAAAACATATATATGTATGTATATATATATATATATATATATATATATATATAATATAAACAACGGGAAAGTTGTAGTTCTTTTGCCGTTTAAAGTGTTTTTGCTGATAGACAGCTGTCTCTGCTGTCACTGCACTGCGTGATACATCTCACCTCACCTGCTCCATCCAAGCCGTCTCTTTTGGCCCTGATGTTAAATTCCAAAGCCTACAGCTCACTTGACAGTGAAAGGTTCAAATCATCCATATACCACATTGATGGTGTCATTGATGCTGTTTCTTCACTAATTTTACACTTATTTACATGTCATCTGTTCTAGCACAGCTGGTGCACACTTAAAACCCCCTTTGGGAGGTTTGCTCCATTAATAACAAATTGAGCTGTTTTATACAACACTGAGCTGTCCTGCACCTGGATGCACACTGGGCCAAAGTCATGACTTCACACAAACACACACAAGAACACATACAATCAGAGGAGGTCTTAAAGCAGTGATGGGAAAAGAGATCCAAGAAGATAATAGATCCATTCAGGCACCAAAACCTGAATCCTTTGGGAGATTTGTACATGTGCTTAAAATTCTGAGATTATCCGACTTTCTCAGGCCACTTAAGAACCAGAAGTGGTTGAGTTTCATGATATTAGATGTAAATAGCTGTTCTGACTTGGCCTTAACAGAGCAGGAACACTGCCAAGGTTGGCCAAGTGAACCCAGATGGCAAATTTCTCCAACTAAAAACCTGCTGGGAAAAACATTCAAGGCTATCTCCTGGTCACATGACTTCTTTTCTTCTCTCTTCGTCAACTGTTCTGACCCAGATCTCTGTTATTTCAAGATGTCAAACGTGAAATTTATCAGTGGTGACAGATTCCCCCTCCGCTGTCATCACTTTTCCCCTATCACTCATGTCTCCTCCACAGTCCCCGCTGAGTGCCAGTGAGTCAGTGTCTGCAGCTGGAGAGGCAAAAGAGGAGTGAGGTTACAGTATGTCTGCTTTGCAGCACGGATGGAGGCAATAAAGTGTGCAGACTTAAGGGGGGGGGCTCATCTGTATTTTCTGACATTTTAACTGAATATTTTAAGTATTTTAGAAGCTGCTGGGTGGAATAAGTCCCATCTTTATGATCAGCCTGTTTGGAAGAGGTCTCTAATTGTGTAAGTTTTAGTTTGTAATTTTGTGGAAAAAGGGAAATTAGATTACCATTCCTCAGTTCACAGCTGGAGATCCACTTATCTCCTTCCTAGCCACTCCAGGCCTCGGTTAAGTGTTTACTAACAAAATGTCTCACACAGCTGCACAGCTCACACTGTACATAGTTTTGTTGAAGTTTGAAAGAGCCAAATGATTGGCCGAGATTTTAGGTGAGAAATTTCAATCTTTTTTTTTTATTTTTCTTTTTTTTTTTGTGGTGATGTTGAATAAGAGTTTATAACAATATTTCATACTTGTCTTTTCTCTATTCATATGTGCTTCCATGATCAATTCTTTTTCATATCAAAATAGAGCAACCCAATATGATCATGGCCATATTAACCCATCTATTCAAGCAATGGTCAGAGAACCTTTAATGCAGTTGTGCAAAGAGTATGTTCTCAAACCTCTGAGTAAAATAATAAAGATAATAACAATAGATGTCAGAGTAATATTCAGTAGGGCTGAGCAATAAACCGAAAATTTACTGATACCGAAATTTATGACAATAACAGACATCATTTTGCCCATGCCAGTATATTCGGTGTCAAAAAAATAAATAAATAAAAATTGTTTTGGATGTGTGTTGTGTGTCCCATGTCCCCTTAAGAAACGTGACTCCATCATTCAGTCCGTAACAAAGAGGGAAAGACAGGTGAGGAGATGGAGGATGGTTCAAAAGTTGAAGCGGCTAAAGTAGATGAAGTTGACGTGGAAGGGGGTGAGCAGCTTGTGGAGTAGTTACCATCCATTTACCGTTATCATGGTGAACTGCTCAATATATCATGATATTGATTTGATGCCAAATTGCCCAGCCCTAATATTCATTAATCAAAGGCACAGAAGTTGCACAGTCTCCTAATAAATTAAGCCCTGAGAGCAGGGTCACACAACGGCATTTTCACTGAGTGTAGGTTTTGAAATGATGCTTATGTTTTAAGAATTTCTAACCTTGAAATGATATGGGGCAATAACATTAATGCATAAAGCAGTGTATTTTAATGTGATGTGTTATATCTGGGGAAAAAGTTAAAGTCAAAATGAAAAAAAAGGGCCAAACTTTTTTGAAAACATCCTGTAATGGCTCCTTAGAGGCTCTTAGCTTTAATGTGGAAAATGCAGTACCAAAAAGTCTCTCTCTCTCTCTCCCTCTCTCTCTCTCTCTCTCTCTCTCTCCAGCTTTTACTGTATGTACTCAGGGTGTTTTCATCCTTACCTCAATACTTCACAGTCATTCCCTCTGAACTCTCACAGGCTCAAGCAAGGGTTAACTACTTTGAGTGTTTAGGTGGAGCCTGGTTCATTCATTCACCTCCCTTATCATCACTGTATTTTTACCACCACTATAAGACTTAAGGAGGATCTCTCCCCAACACTCGAAGGTAACGGCCTCATTTCTCTCTACCTGTAGGACCTAGAAGGGACAGAGGATGGAAGCAGTGGCCGATGTGCTAACAATAGAGTAAAATCTTGGCAGATGAGCAGTGAAGAAGAGGAGTCATTTACCAGGTAAGAAGCTTCTAACTGGTTTATTTTAATAACTGCAGTTTCATTCTGAAGAGGTTTTTCATGACTGTGCTGGATTATTTACTTATATAAATAATTATGTACTTTCTACTAGACAGTTGGTGCTAGCTGTAAATTTTAATACGATCTGAAAGAACAAACAAGAATCACTTTGGGACACACAATCACAGATTGAACAGCACACAGAGGTAATTACACACCAATTTAAAGGGCTGTGCGATGATGTAAACAGCGACAGAGATAAACCAGATAGACCTGCAGAGCGTCTGTAATACCAAACACCTTCTCTCACGCACACACGTGCACACAAGCCCTGCACATGAACACATAAAAACATTTAGTACGGAGTGGTAGCCATGGTGATGTAAACCAGGCTGAGTTTAATAGCCGCAGCAGTGCGAGCCAGACTGTACTTAGCACAGTTACTGCTGGAGTAAAAGATCTTGACTGTATGAGAGTGTGTAAGTATATCAATGTGTGTGTTCGTGGGTGTGTATGTTTGTGAAGAGTTAGAAAACAAAAGTAAAGTTCATTCCTCTCAGTTTCCTTCCATGTCAGAGGTTGTATCATTGTTTTTAGTAGCTGAACCTTGTCCCTGACCTTTTAAAGACATGCAACACTTTCCCAAAAATAAATATCTTTTTTGGAGAGCCCACTATAAAAACAAAAGGCTAACAAAAAAAGCTCAAAGTTCTGGAAAAAGCTCAAACAAAAGTCAAAGTGTTCAGGCATTTTTGCTTTCCAAAGGTTAGAAACAATCACATCAGACCTGCTTTGCTTATCAGAGTTTGCTTTGGTGTATTAACCAACTCTAAGTTCTTTATAACTATGCTGGCTCAGACTTCTCCTGATTAGAAATCAGTATTTATTGATTTTGGAAACACCCTACTGTGTCAATTAGAACACAAGTTACAACTGTTGAAAATACAGTCCTCTGCTGTGATTCAGGATTTAGATGTATGTAGTAGCAACAAAGGGGGGGTATTTTTTCTAAGATAAGCCAAACCACAGGGCCTAGATCTTTTGTGTGTGTGTGTGTTTTTGTTGATCGCTATGTGTGTAGCATGATTAGTTGTAAAGTCAAACATTGATCTCCACCTTTGAAGAGCTTTTATAGATTGCATTTCAAATATTTTATTTAGAATTGCTAATTTGCTTGCTAATGCTAATTTAACTTCTGTTTATTTTTGTCTGATATTCAAGCAGAAGCAAGGCAATGGATGACAAAGACACCACAGATGAACCCGAAGTAAAGGAGCAGAGTGAAAATGCCGTCACTGCAGAGGAAGAAAGGGTCTGTATTTCACCCGTTTCATAATAAAACTCAAAGATTTTACGGTGCACGCTTCTACTATATAAGCATGCTATGTAATGTCTCGTGTTTTTCATACATCATTAGGGTAAAAGAAAAAGCAACCTCCCTGGATTTTGTTTGGAAAGATGATATTTTTCAGCTCTTACAGCCAATTCCAAAAGTATTACTCACCTTAACTCTGGCCCAGTCCTCCTTCAGGACCTGGTTTTACTTAGCTTTGTGTTTTAAAGTTGATATGTGGATTGTAGTTCACGTCAGTCATTGATGAGGAGTTAAAAGGCAAACACACACTCCCCCTCTCTTTCTCGCTCTCTCTCTCTCTTACATACACACACTTGTTCTAAAGCTCATGTGGTTTAAATGTGATTACATCAGCCAGATCCAAAGAGTTCCTCACATGTAATCAGAGTATGCACATGTATTGTATGTACCTCACACTCATGATACACACACACACCGCTGTTTTGAATTTAACTCAACCACCTGGTTAGCATTGAACCCTCACACTCAGCCAGCCTCACGCTCCGTATCTCCCTTATACTCTCCTAAATCAGAACTCCCATGTGACCTTTTCACCTGTCCTCAGGACATCTGCTGTTGTTCCAGCCACTGTTGTATCATCAAACCACGATAGCTTATAGAGTAGGGTGCACACAAAAGGCTGTGTTTACATTGGTTATTATTACCTGTCCATGTTCGCTCTTTGTGTATGTATAATATTACACATGATGAAGGTTGCTCACATTCTCCAAAGGGTTAACATTTTGCTGTTTTATGACCATAAAGCTTAGAGTTACAAGATGACTCTTAAGCACAACATGTGTTTTCTGTTATTTTGTGTAATTTGGCGCACCTGAAACGCACACAAAAATGTCTAATGGCCTGTGGAAGCCTTACAGATTTATTGACAAAGGTTGAAACCCCCTCATTATTTGTTTTTATCCTACCTTTAGCCTCTTTTTAGATTTATTTACTCACCCTTTCCTCTAATCAGTTTGTCTTGAGTTTTTGTGGCTCTAATTTTTTATGTTTCCCTCTCTCTACTTTTTTTTTCCTTCAAGCTATTCACTCCATCAACCTGAACCCAAGTCTCCTAAAACGAGTTGGGCAGAAAATGCTGAAACAGTCATAGTTGGAACAGGAGTGTGTGTTTGTTTTTAGATAGTACAAAGTCTTTGTATTCTAGAGAAATAATAAGCAAAGACTTTTCTCTTAATGTGGAAGAAAAATGTGAAAATGTTGGTCTAGACTATTCCAGAAATTATAAATATTATGGCCGGTGGAAAAATAATAAGCTTTTTCCTCTCTTCTCTAGTCCTCCTCTGTCAGCAAGAACCAAGACGCCTCCCCACCTCTCTCTCCCCTCTCTCCCTCCTGCCAGCCCACCTCCCTGCAGCGCCAAGACTCCGGGCCTCGAGGCATCAAGGGAATCCTAAAGAAAAGCCGCTCCACTAGCCTGGAGTCCGACCACAGCGAGGGCTCAGCACTGGAGCGTGTGCCCCCAGCTCGCCAGAGCAGCATAACCCTCAGCCACCCTGAGAGTGAGGAGGAAGAGGAGGAGGAGGAAGGAGAAGAAGAGGAGGAGGAAGAGATGGATGAAGAGGTGAATGGTGACAGTGACAGAGAAGATGAGTCATTCACGGAGGATATCACAGATGGAGGGAGCTTCAGCAGGGATACAAAGCAGAGAGGTGCGAGCAGCAGCAGCGGAGGGAGCTTTGAGGAGATGCGGAGTCCCTCACCAGATGAAAGCTTGGAGCAGACGTCCTCGGTGTCAGAGGATGTCGAGGAGCTGGAGAGCAGTTTGGATGGAAGCATGGGCTCCTCAATCAAACAGAGGTCAATGGATATGCACAAACAAAGAACACACTATGATAGAGGCTTAAAACAAACAAAACAAAGCTGGAGAAATTAAAAAAATCAAAGACACTGGGAAGTTTTCAGCTGGTTATAGTTTTGAATACTAATGCTTCTCTGTGAGTCACAAAAGGAAAAGAGACTATCAGGGGCAAGAACGATTATTTCTATACTGTTATTTTTAAAGTCTGAGAAGGGTGGGGGTGTCAGGAAAAGTGCCAAACTGCATACTCACAATAATTTTCAAAACCCTTAACTCAAAGGAAACTCTCACCCTTGCGCAAGGGACAAATTTTTCATTGCTTAAGACTTAACAGCTTTGTCTCTTGAAGGCAGAGAGTTCAAGTTCCAGTATTTCACTTCTTTAACCCAGAACTGACCCTGAAAAAAGCTTTCTGTTCATCAGAAGAGTTGTCAGGATTATTACAAGCCCGTGAAGACTGAGTTGATCAAAAAAACAAGAGCGAGAAAAATAAACTATGATCAATGAAAATAAAATATAAATGTTCTTATCAACACACTAGATATTTTTAATAATAATTTTTAATAATTATTGTCAAACTGTGTCAGAGTTTGACTAAAAATTGAATCCATGTGGCAAAACTTTTCAATTTCTTTGAGTTAAAGGCAAAGATTGTTGGGTTTTAATATACTCAATAATGATAGCAGAAACAAAACATAGATGATGAGTCTGATTAATCTGTCTGATCATTCACTATGGATGTTACTTGAATGCTGTCACCAATAAGAAGAAAAGCTCATTTTTTGTTTCCCTTTTTTCAGACTCGAAGAGTTCAATACTGAATCTGATAAGAAGACCAGACTGAGGAAACCCAAACCGTCTGATCTGATCCACACGTCACTGTCTGATCGCTTTGGTCAGCTCCAAGATTATTCTGAAAATGCCTGGAAGAAAAAGGTACATACCCCTTTTTGAATCTTTGTGTTTGTGTGGTTGTTTGATCGGACTTACAGGTTGAGACTCCTTGCAAAGAAAATCAGTCTTTGCTGGGAGTGCATTGTTCTGTAAGGTAAGCGGTAATGAGAAGCTATATGTTTAGATTTCCTCCCTTCTGTACAGGGAGAGAATGATTTGGCTATGAACACATTTTCTTCCTCTGCTGAATCAGCTTATCTCTCAGAGTTGCTGCCAGGAGGGCGTGAGGTTAGTGTGAGGGCTTTTTTGGATGGGGGGGTTTGCTGCAGATTTGAGAGTTGTGATGCCAGATCTCGAGATCCAGAGCTTAAATAGCCTACCAGTGAGAAAGAGAGACACGCCTATTCTGCTTGTAAAAATGAAAAGCTCCTCCATGACCAAACACCCGCAAAGCTAAGAAGTTAACACCTGCTTCCTTTAGCAGCCTTTTGAACGCTCTTTTTCTCAATGTCAGAGAAATAATCCGCCGCTTTTCATGGACTTTCCTGCCTCACACATGTACGTAATCATGTCTGAGTCAGCGTTACACACGTTGGCCTTTAATATACAGAGGAAAACTGATTTATCGTGTTTCATCCTGCCTTCCTTCTTAGCAAACAAGACCACCCTTGCTTAGGTTTTAAGTGGAAAAACATCACCACGCTCTGTTTAAGGCATTGCTTGCTCATTCTGAGGAAAAAAAGTGCGACAGCAGTGGAAAACTCGACATGGATATCCCCAAAACTGCACTGATGTCATTTTTATTCATGCAGCCTATCTCTTGGCCTGATCTCTGCTCAGATCATTGATGCTCTTAGGGGGATTTCTGGTTTTGGCTCGTTCTTTATCCAGTGGTGACCTAACCTTAAAATAAATCCATTCTCAGTCTGGGAATAAAAGTTACTTTGTAGGTACAGACAGCCAAAAATGTGAGCCAATCCCAGCTTGACCAAAAAAGTGAAAACAGAAGTCGTTTTTTTACACGCAGTGTGGTCTCTCTCTGTTATGAAAAATTATCACAAAGTCCATGAAAGTTTGATGTCATTCAGCCAGTGGTGCAAAAACTGCATCCTCAACACTTAGCGGGAGCCAAACGGGTGTCTGCAGATTTGCTCCTCTTAAGTCTCTCCGTGGTCAGCGCCTGTAAATTTGTCTGGAACCTGCTGTGCACCGTGGCTACTACTTTGAGAAAATAACTCACATGACAGATAATACACGGTTTGTCTAAGATGTTGACATTTATGCTGTTAGCTGTGGTGCATTTACCCGCTATCTTGTTACATTTCAGTTCCTCTCCTGAGGAAAAGGATGCTGCTTTCTCGTTTAGGCATGTTCTTATTTATCTTGCATGCTGCCAATCCAGGGCAGATGTTGTCGCTCTTGGCTGATATGTGGGAGACCTGGGAATGTAACATGCATGCAACACAACACGCTCACCTTCAACCAAATCCAGATGTTTCCTGTTGAACCTGCTAAGCTGTTCTGCACACCACTGTTGTGTTTAAAAGTGAGGCCTTGTTGTAGATTTAGTCTTAAATCCACTTTTGACAGCATATTAAATAACAGATTTTAAGTGTCCTGTCCACAAAGACATTTAAAGACTAATGTGGATTCTGCAGTTTGCTTACAAATCCATAAGGATTTACTTAATGACTAGGTTTTGTTTTCCAGTGATGACTCATTGAAATCAAGTCTGATCCAGTCCGTTTAATACTAAAGATCACTTGGAAACATTAGTTCCCAGAAAATAAATTAGAGACAATCAACTTTAAGCTTGTGTGAGTAGTTTTTGACTGGCAATAAAACAGACTGAAATGAGGACTGATGCCTTTGCATGACCCATAAACGCAGACGAGACCATCAGTGACAAGGCTGACAAATTCTATACTGCTGTGAAGTGGTGCAACTTATCATGTGAATCACCGCTAGGTTTACTGATCCAGGATTCTGACTGTGCACTTCAAGGATCGACCAATCACAACGTGTCACCGTGCATTTAAAGAAAAAGGCTTTTCACCAACATTTAATCAGATTAAATGAAGATTTAATAAGACGCCAAACCCCTCTGTGACGGGGGACGACGCAGCTCGGTAGAGCGTGGGTCGACGGGGGTGAAAATATTGTGATATCAGCACAAGAAGGCAATTAAGCACAAATATTATATTCAGCAAACCACCAGACGTTGATTAACGTGGACGCTCTTCAATCTTTTGGTCTCCAGCCGGTCTCCAGTGGGTTGGGCGAATCCAAAATGGTAAAAACAAGGGGAGTGTTCTGAAACAGGCTGTTACCTGTGAAATGGGGGTGCTCTGAAAACACCCCCACTAGAACTTGGTACATTCCTCCTGATGAAATTAATCATAGACTTTTGATATATTAAATGACGCTGAAAAAAAATGAGTCGACCAATCAGAATTTGGTCGACTCAGAACGTTTCGACCAGTTAGTCGACCAGTCAACTAGGACTTTACAGCCCTAATTGTCACTGACTTCAATTCCTGTATCTTTGTGGTCCTTATTGTATTTCTTAGTGCCTGTAACCGCTGTAAATAAGAAGGTGTCAGGTAAGGCCTTGTACAGCACCAAAGAAAACTTCTCAAATAGTAAGTATTCAGAGTACAATCACAGAACAATCAGCAAAGATGTAAGAGATACCCCTTTTTCCAGATGGATCACCAAAACTTACACAAAGTTTCTCAGTGGAGCCTCAAGATGAGTTGGTTTCTTCCATAAATTGTGGGTGCCCTCTCTATAATGTCAACTCAAGAGCAGCATATATAGAAAGTCAGTACTGGGAGGAATCTGACTTTCTCACCAAAGAGATGAATCACTTTCCCTTCATGTACCCAGGCTTTGCTTCCATCTTGTTTTCTGTTTGATCCCTCCACATGCGCTTTTATAAACAGTCTGTTTCCCTTCCTCTCCCTTCTCCTACAACTTTATCCCAGACTTTAAATGACCCATGTCCCTCTTCTTTAGACATCTGCGCTAAATCTCGCTCACTCCAGCTGTTGCGGTCTTATGTTACCCTGCTCCTCTGTTTCTCCGCTGATAATTTTCCCTCCCTATTTTTCTGCTACAACTATACCTCTTTCTTTTACTCTCCTTTCCAGTTTCCTCTGTCCTCACCTGTGGACTTTACCCCTTTCTTTGACTTCAGTACCTGCCTTTCAACCTTTCCTTGTCCTTTCAGGTGAGTTTGTGTACATATGAGCGTTCTGTCTTCGAGGCTTTTGCATGGACTTTCTCAAGTATAGTTCACCCCTCTATTATGCTATTTGTGTTCTGGACAACTTTATACACTTACCGCTGAGAAATCAGTGCTGTCAACACATGGGCTGTTGCTACATGGATGCGGTTTGCCGGCCCCTCAGCCGGTCGATATCTGTGTCAGTGGTTTTGGACAAAGTACTAAATACACTGTACAGTAAGGCAGGGCTGAGAAAAATGGCTTCCTGTGGGGGTTTGAGGCCCCGGCCCTTTCCTTCCCTCCCATCTCTCTGGGGTCCTGTCAGGCTTAGGTATTTCCCTTCTCTGATCAACTCCAGAGATGGACTTCTAGCTGGAGGGGCTTTGTAAGATGACAGGTATTGTAGCGTGTAGCAGCTTATAGCAGGATTTTCTCGTAAGGTGAAACATTTGTTTTTGTCCTGCATGGATTCATTGGTTTTCATTAAGCTCTTAGATTATTGCGGACTCCAAAACATGTAGAGACAGCTCATCAAGTCAGAACATTTATCACATACTTTCATGTTATGAAATCAGCAAGAGCCGCTTACTTTGATGCCCAGCCTTAATATTTTGTCTCTGCATGTGTGCTAGGATGATTTCTCTCATGTCAGGCTATTGTTCCACCACAGCATGCAGCATGGTAAACAATAAAAGCTTTTTAGTGTGTCAAATGTGTGAAGAGGAGAGAATAGGCTTATCCTAATTCGTTTGAGTGCAACATGGTTAAAGCTTTGTTTATTTTTTTTGCATTTAAGTATGTGACACGACAGCCCAGTACAAACAACACTGAACTTTTCATCTGTGTTGGTTACGTTTTTGCTGCATTTGGTTTAGAGTTGGTTCAGATTTTTGCCAAAGAATGGATCACCAAATACATGACCAGACATAAAGTCTTTGACTGTCCATCCAGTGAAACTGTCTCACAGATGGCCAAGCTTTTCTTCACATGGTTTACTGCACAAAAGGAAATCCTCAGCCCATGATAACATATCTCTGAATTGGGGCTGTGCAATTAACCACAGTTTCATTTTGTGACTAGAATCATGAGACCTGATTTATTGCATGAAATTAAATGTTTATAGAGGTGCGTAATGCTTTCTTTGTGAGTGTGGTTGTATTTCACCTGTTGGTTGGAGGACTGAGTATAAAGGTCATGTTGTACATCATTTTGAAACAGACACATGAAACTCAAGCCAGTACTTCGTGCTCTTCATCAGTCTAAAAGAAGATTGGTGACTTATTTTGAGGACAGGAGAGACCTTTTGCAAGCCGAAGTGTGTAAAACGGAAAGAACAGTTGCTGACGTAAAAACTCAGAGTTAGAGCTAATATGTGCTCTTAATCTGAATTTGTTTACATCACTTCATGTTGTCTTCCCATTATGTAACAGTGTCACTGTATCTTATTGTGTACATAGAGATGGACTAACTAGCTAACAAATTTAAGGTAAGAAAACACTTGGGGAAACACACAGAAAATAGTCAAAATTTTGCAAATGTTGGTGCTTAACTCAGCTGTTTACAGGATTAGGAATTCCTACGATTCAAGGTTACAACATTGAAATGTTTAGATGGTTAGATGTGCTGTTTGTAAAAATTATGCAGGGTTAGGGCTGGGTGATAAACTGAAAATGTACCAATACCGAAATTTACAACAATAACCCTCAATTTACCCATGTCAGTATATTAGGTGTCAAAAAAATAAATGAACAAAAGTTAGTTTTGGATGTGCGTAGGTAGACTATGGTCTCATGTCCCTTTAAGATGCTGTCCTAAGTCAGAGACATAACTCCACCCCATCCAGTCCGTAACAAAGAGGGAAAGACAGGTGAGGAGATGGAGGACGGTTCAAAAGTTGTAGCTGGAGCGGCAGCTGAAGTAGATGAAGTTAATGTAGGAGGGGGTGAGCAGCTTGTGGAGTAGTTATGGTCCATCTATCGTTATCGAGGTGAACTGCTCAATATATCTTGATATTGCCCAGCCCTATGCAGGACTCTACATAACCTCCTTTTACAAAGACCACACTGACAAGATTTTGGCTGCAGTTCAAAACTGGAGCCACAACATTTTTTTATTTTTGCTTCGTTGACATCTGTGAGTGTTTAAGTTGACCCTTCAGAGCTTACAGTGGAGACAGTGCTGTGAGTCATGATGTGATAAACACCAGATCATTTTTTTAAACCACAAACAGAATTCTTGTATGAGCCTGGATTTTGATAATCCAAAACATTTCACTGTCTGCAGCATACAGTACTTTGCTAATGAACAGCAATAAATGTATGCAAGCCAAATTGACTCAAGACTATATATGACGACAAATGCTATGAGAGGTCTTGATATACTTTTATGCACCTTTTTTGTTTCACTGCGATGCCTGTGATTCAAAGAAAGGTCTGCTTCTGTAAGACTGTGGCACACAGAAAGGAAGTCAGCATTCATGCTACATTACACACAGTGAATTGCTCATTATTAGCTGAGAAATAAGGGGAGGTAGCCCGTAAAAACCAAGGCAGGGTCATAAAACGCTTCAAATATTTAGAGGTGGAATATCATTAATTACTGTAACGGCTCCTGGGGTCCAGAGGGAACAGTGAGCCAGTAAACCTCTGCTAATTCATTTTTAATGGTAGAGTTCAGGTGCAAAAATGGCAGCAGGAGTAAATCACATGAGGAAAGCTTGCTTATTCTGCAGGCCTCAGAACACAGACCTTTTTTTTTTTTTTTCATTTTTAAGCCAAAGAATTTTTATGTTTTATTGTGAAATAAAGTTCGAAATCATGTGATAAAAAATCTGGCAGTAGTTATTCTTGGGAAAAGTCAGGCTTTTCCAGAGATAATTGGAAAGTAAAGTGATCCCAAGCAGTCTCTCTGTAAATGATGTCTATCTTCTATCCTGGCAATCCTACTGGAAGTTCTTTCACTGCAATAATGTCAACATACATTTCTCAAACAAGTCCTCATGCTGAATCTAAGATTGAATTGACATGTTCCTTGCAGAAGTCCAATGTAGATGTGGAGCCGAAGATGTCGCTGGCAGAGAGGATGAAGATCCTGAAAGACAAGGAGGAGCAGTGGAAGAACAAAGGGAAAGGAGCAGCCAATGACTCCACTCAATTCACTGTGGCAGGACGCATGGCTAAGAGAGGTAAATAATAAAAACTGCTTGTTCAGCATGATGTGGCTGGAAATGGGTGTGGCCATTAAGGAAAATCTGGCAAACTCTTCAAGCTGCTGTATGAGTTTTGTTTTACCCCCATGTCATCAGCTTTTCGTTCTAACATTCTCTTTGTGTTGGTTTTTTTATTTTGATATTTTTAAACTGTGATAGACACAAGTTTTCCCAAAACTTACAGCTTTTCTCTAGTCATGTGCCACATTAAAGAGTTTCTGAGTCACAGCAGGTTGCCAATAGAACAATGGCAGCCAGTCATCCGTGGTTTTCAGATATTTTGATGAACACGGTATGTGGAGTCTGAGAGGATGTCCTAATCCTCCCCTTAGATCTTCAATCATTATCAATAAATGGATAAGTTAACCTAAGGCTCAGTCTAAACTCAACCACAACACCTTTTTAAGAATACTTTTCCTTTTGGTTCAATAACCTTTTTTTCATAGTTGAACTGAAACAGTATATCTGCTTGTTGGTTAGATAAACTAATAACAGACTCATAACATTTAAGTAGACAATATTAGACTCTGGAAATTTGCCACTATATCAATTGAGGACATAACTCCAAGTGTCAGTATTCAGTTTTTCCCTTGTTTTCCATCAGGTCTGGTGTCAGATACAGGAAAAGAGGAGTCTCCACTTATCGCTCTCAGAAAGTGTAACGCCACACCAGTAAAGCCACATGAAGGTATGAACACTCTCCTTTGACTCAAAGTCAGCTAGCAAGTAAAGCGCTTCATGAATTTAATCATTATCCTGATAGATGATAAAGCAGATGTTGGGGGTTATCGAGTTTGATGTTATTTGAATTGAACTCTTGTGACAGTATGTGTGAAAATCCAAGAAATCAGCATGGCATCGCAGCAGTGTGTTAGTGTAGTAAATCGGACCTCTCTTTGTTTTTACCGGGCAGAAATCTCCAGTCGAACGGATGTAAAGGTGGAGGGGGATAAAAGGCTCGACAAACTTGAGTCTTTCCTCGATAAGCTTCACAGTAAAGGTACAATCCCATGTTTGCTGCTGTTTTCCATTAAATGTAATAACAAGTGACCACATTAATAATGCTAAATTACACATTTGGATTTAAATGTATTATTCTTCAGACATGCACTGTCAGTCTTGTCTTTTTTACTTGAATCATCTCTGGTTCCCTTCGTCCTGTCATGGTGTCTCTGTTAGGCGTGAGCCAAAGCAGGACATCCACCATTGAAGTCACGGCTCAGGTTGAGAAGGAGGTGATGACCCTGGATGACGAAGAGACATTCGGCAACTTCTACAAACCCGTCTCACCATCAACTCTTCAGGACAGCAGCGTAGTTTTGACAGAGGAGGACCTCAGTCAGATTCAGGCCAATACTCCAAAGTAATTTCATAAAAAATCATAAGAACATCAAAAGTTTTGATGATTTTATTCCAGGGACAGTTTTTGTTCCTTTCTTTAACGAAAAATGATCACAGTGTGTGTTTTTACTTTCAGGCTGGACACAGCTGTAGCAGAACACAAACGAGCAGTGCGACCAGCCAGGAGGAATCAGGGCTCTAGGAACCCTCTACGGGCTCTGGCTTCCCGCAATGATATCCGACAGGTCTATACCGAGCAGAGGCTTAACGTAGCCACAGTGGAGACCAAGAGAATCCAAGTGGAGAGGAGTAAGACTGCTCAAACTTAATTAATATCGAGCGTTAAGGCTTCTCCCCTCAGTAAGACTCACCTAAAGCTAAATCCACAACTACAATCCCCTGTATGATAACTCTACATAGTTCTAAGTGGTTTTTGAGTCTTGGGGTGTCTAAAATTAGCTCTCAGATCAGTGTGAAGACATTTTTAAAATAGTGAGATTTCTCTGTGTAGACAGAATAAAAATCAAATCTAAAAAGGCTTTGATGTTCTAACAAACAAGAAAGACACATTTACATGCACGTGTACCCTACAGTAAACAAGTGCCTACTTCTGTTGTTTTCCTGTTGTGATTTGCACAAACAAGATACCACTTTAAGACACAACAAAAGCACAGATGCATCCTTTTGTCTAGCTGCTCTGCTGTTACAGCAGAATCGTTCCCCAGGCTCACGTCGCACTTTGAAGCACTGCACGATAGCAAAAGTTGAATTTGACTGCCACTTCATTGATGTCAGTGACTGAGTTTGTTTTTAGGCAGGGCTGAGATTAGAAGCAGCTGCACAGTTAGCTTCCTGACATTCATTGATGTGTTTTCAGTTTTCAATTCAGTCTGCTGCTGTGGATTTCCTATTTTGGATTCTCTCTGTAGATATTCTGCACAGATAAGTCTGACCTCAATTACCCTGTCACAGGTTACACAAGAGGAAGTGAGCTGACTGTCTGCTATACCACACGTGTTCAAACGAAAAAAAAAAAACACTCCTTGTCTCTTCTGATCTGTCTTATAAATCTGTTCATAAGAACAGATTTAGTCAATTCTAACTGTTTCCTCTCCTCTTGTCTCCTCTCCATCAAAGTGGCAAAACATGCCAGATCAAACTTGGCGGATGTTGCTTTGGCAGGTCTCGCCAGCAAAGAGAACTTCCGCAAGGTCAGCCTACGCAGCGTGAAGTCCACCGAAGTTGTGACCAACAACAGTGCGGTGCCTTTCAAAAAGCTCATGCTCATTCGCATTAAAGGTCAGACACACAAAGAATGAGATTCATGTTTGTTTTGTAAACACATCTGTCACATGTAGGATGACTTAGCTTGAATTTGGCAGGTGGCTTTTTTGAAATAAGGAGAAAAAGAAATAAAAAGTAAGACTGTAATATAATATTTAATACTGTTAAGGTTAAGTCTGTCATAGTATGACTGCTCTTGTTTTCTGCAGGTCGGCGGCACGTACAGGTGCGCCTGATGGAACCAACCGCCTGCTCACTAAACAGTGGAGACTGTTTTCTGCTCATAACACCAAAACACTGTTACATGTGGAGCGGAGAGTTCGCCAACGTCATTGAAAAGGCCAAGGTAGAGACTAAAACCAAGAGGGACAAACACAGTGAGAGTTTTAGAACCAGTTTTGGAAATTCAGACTTTTAAGATTGTAAAATGTGTTTTTTTTTTTTTTTTTTTTTTTTTGTGGCCAGGCTTCAGAGATGGCATCCTACGTTCAAGCCAAGAGGGACCTAGGGTGTAAGGCCCCACAAGTGACGGTGCTGGAGGAAGGGATCAACTCTGAGAGCAGATGGGCCAAAGAGTTCTGGAGCCTATTAGGAGGGAAAACCAAATACAGAGGTTTACACACAGTTTGAACAGCTTATTTACAGAACCCTCTTGATATAGAACAGCTCCGAAGGTCAAATCTGTCTCATCCTATGGTGTCATATCACAGCAAATTGAATTTTATTGTACATATATGTTTACCTTATAAATCACTCCAGGTATCTTTTAACTTGAGCTCATAATAAATACTCCTGACCACACTGTAACCCTGTCTTTGTACTTGATGTGTGTAGGGGCAGGAGAACCAGAGGAAGACGAGCTGTATGAAAGCGGAGTGTGCGACTCTAACGGGGTGTACAGACTCCAGGGAGACAAGCTGGTGCCTCATGAGGACGCCTGGGCCTCCATTCCCAGCGTCTCCTTGCTCAACTCTAAAGAGGTAACACCGCTGCACACCAAAGTAATGACTTCATGTCTCTGGGATGCTTTGACAAGCGTGGAAAACCATTTTGATCTATTTTACACCTGGCTGGAAAAACTTGGGAGTCGTATTTTCTGATCCTTTCGCACTTAAAAAAAAAAAAAATACAGTAATGTACAAAATTTCCTCTGTTTTCTCTTTTAATTTGCTGATTCTCCTCCCCAGGTCTTGGTGTTTGATTTTGGCAGTGAGCTGTACGTCTGGCATGGGAAAGATGTGCCCTTGAGTGATAGAAAAGTGGCTGTGAAGTTGGGTAAACAGCTCTACGGCGGCAGCTATGACTACAGCAACTGCAGAGTGAACCCTCTAGATGCTTCCTGCACGGAGAAAGATGTGCCTCTGTGAGCAACACGTGTTAAACCTGCATCCTTTTCCAGGAGTTATTTTGCACCTTGTGAAGTTTGATGCATTGAGTACTATCACATGTAACTTTATAAGACATCCAGTGGGCTACAAATTTGGTGGTCTTATTGATTGTGCAATAGTGGCCCCTAGAGCCTTAAATGTGCTAGTGCATTCAAGCACAGTAGATGTTTTCAAATACTCCCTTCTCTTTGTGTGATTTCCAGAAAAGGGGAGAGTCGTCCGAGCTGGACCCTTTTTGGCCGGCTATCAGAGCACAATGAGACGGCCCTGTTCAGAGAGAAGTTCCTGGACTGGGCTGAAAGGAAAAAGGAGGAAGCTGCTCAAGTGGAAGAGGTCAAGGTAGGTTGTGTCTGTGATCTTCTCGAGATGTTGAAATCACAGTTGTACTGAAGGTAGAAAGTAGATTATGCATACTTTCTCTTGGTTTCCTCAGAGCCCGGTCCACTCCACTGATCGCACCTCCTTCGACTTGGAACTGCAGCCATGTGACGCCAAAACCCTACTGGACAACGAGCCAGAGCCGGTGAAGACCATCCTAGAGAATGTAAATGTCCAACGGGGCCACGGCATCGTGAGGGCGGACGACGGCAGACAAGCGGAGCTCTCTACCATAGCTGTCGACGCCTGGCACATTAAAGAGCACGGGGAGGAGGAGCTGCCTGAGGAGAGCCTGGGACAACTACACCAGGAAGACGCCTACATCATCCGATGGAAATACTCCATCACCACGCTCGGTGAGTCAAGAGTTCGGCACAGAGAAGGCACGGAGAATCCATGAGTGGAGGTTTAGACTTGGTGACAAAGTAGGAAGAAGATTGACAACAGAAGAAATCTGTCTGACTTCACTTATCAGTGATGATGGAGCACAACTGAAAGACAGCATGTGTGCAAGATGTCAACAGTAAAGGACCGTATGTTTGTCAGCAGGTTTTTTTTTTTTGCAAAGGTGAGAAAAGGAAACATAGTTTCTGTCGGTTTTGAAGAAAGATCTTCCCCCCTTTTTTTTTTTTTTTTTTTTTTTTAGAATTATACGAAATATAAGTTTTTATGTTTTAAACTTTATACTTTTTTATTTTTTTTTACAGTGGGGAAGCGCCAGAAACCTGGGGAGCTGAGTGCCGGCGCTCCTGGGAGAGAGAGAACTGCATGTTTTTTCTGGCAGGGCCGTCACTCCAGCGTCAGTGAGAAAGGAACCTCAGCTTTGATGACGGTTGAGCTGGGCAGCCACAGGGGATCACAAGTCAGTAATCTTAAATCACAGCCACACAAAAAATGAGAGTCTTTAAGTTGTGATGATGCTCCTGGTCAGAAATCATAAATATCATAAGTCACTGAAAGAACACATACCATCGCAATCAGAAGAAATAGTTAAAATTAAGCATATAAACTATAATATTAACAGAGTTCAAATGATGTCTGTGATGTCGCTCAAGTTTAAGTGTCATGAGTTTCTTTGGATCCATGTTTTTATTCTGTTTATTTTGTAAAATCTGTAAAATTTTGTAAAATTATTCTGATAATTACACAGTTTAGATAAATGACTGTTCATTGACATGCAAAACCTTTTTAGACTACTTTTTAAAGATGATATCAATTTGCAGCATTTGAAAATGCTCCCTGAAACGACACCACAAGTATGCAAAAATGCCTGTGTGGGCACTTGGCTGGCTTGCCTCTGATGCAGAGAACAAAGGGTTAATCAGTGCGTGGGTAGCTGTCATTAACGTGTCTGTGTAATACTGTCTGTTCAGGTCTTGGTGACTGAGGGAAAAGAGCCTCCATGCTTCCTCCAGCTCTTCCAGGGTGGTTTGGTTATCCACAATGGCAGCAGAGAGGATAGCTCCAACAACACAGGTCAAAAAGAAACTTTGATTTAGTTGTATTTTCTTTACTATGACTTAAAAAACTCACTGAATCACTGTTTCTTCTAACCATGTCTTGTTCACCCCCTCCAGATGGCTGGAAGTTGTTCTGCGTCCGTGGTGAGGCAGAGGCGGAGGCCTGTCTGGTGGAAGTAGACTGTCAACGTGCCAGTCTGCGTTCTCGTGGCAGCTTAGTGCTTCTTAATGCCCAGAAAAGTCGTCTCTACCTTTGGCATGGCTGTAAAGCTCACCCCAGCGCCCGGCAGGTGGCTAAAAGAGCTGCAGACAAAGTGACTCAGAGGTGAGGCTTTGAGCAGATGTACAAGTAGAAGCCCGGCTGATTCTGATAAATCAGGCTACATTCTCCTGTTTATGTCTTCAAGGTGCCCCTCTGAGTTGGGTCTGAGCAAAACAAGTAGCGTGAAAGTGGAGGAGGTAGAGGAGGGATCTGAGCCAGCAGAGTTCACACGGGCTCTGGGCCCAACAGACAAGAAGGCCTATGACTGCATGCTGCAAGGTCCCACTAAACCACTCAAAAACGATGACAAAAAAGTATTATCAACTGCTGTTTTTCACAGTGAGTGAGCTGACAAGGTGAAATGTTGTGTTGTCTGCAGATCCAGGGAAGTACAACTACACACCCCGACTCTTCAGGCTGAGCGCGAGCTCTGGGGTGTTTGAGGGAGAGGAGAAGTTGTATCCGGCTCGGGTAACAGAGGGAGTCATGGCAATGCCCTTCCTGCAGGAGAACCTCTACTCTGCACAACAGCCAGGTATTACACACACACACACACACACACACACACACACACACACACACACACACACACACACAGAGTGATGACACCTTAAAGTGCAGCACAAGATTACCTATCTGAGGTTTTCTGTACTTGTAAAATTGTTGTTGCCTTTCCAGCCTTGTTCATGTTGGATAACCGCATGGAGGTGTACCTGTGGCAAGGCTGGCAGCCTGATGACACACAATGCACGGGCTCTGCAAAGATCCGCTGGAACAATGAGAGGAAGTGTGCCATGGAGACGGTTTTGCAATACTGCAAAGGTGAATACACGCTAATTTAATTTTTTGACATTAGTGAAGTTGTGAATGGAAGACTTTTACTTTAAGCAGAGCATTTTAACATTTACTGCTGTTTTAACCTCACACAGTCTCAGTTTACTTATTCTACCCCAACACTTGTGATTCACAGAGAAGAATCCTCGGCGCCCCCCTCTGGCCTATCTGGTCCTCGCAGGCTGTGAGCCCCTCACCTTTACAAACATCTTCCCATACTGGGACAAGGACCCCACCATCACCTCAAAGGTTGGAAACTTTATCCTCTGATTGTATTGTAGTTTTTCTGTAAAGTTATGCTGTGGTTAGAAGGGAGAATGCAACAACATGTTGTTGTCATGAGTAAGAATCCAAATAATCTCACTCAGCTGGATTTGTCAAGATAGTGCCACCCACAGGTATGTCTGATTATCTTGACTGAGAGTGAAAGAAAGCAGTGTTGAAGGAAAATTATACCCAGGAAATGACTCCACGTTTAGAATAGAAATCACAGAAATTTAGAAAGCTCCCATGTTGGATTTAAACCTGGGTCAGTTCAAAAGTTCAGATGATTATTTTTATCTTCATTAGAAAAGAAATACAACACCAGCAGTATTTCAGTTTTCCATTTTCTCACGTTTGAACTGAAATGTTGATGTTTTACATGTAGGCTGAGACCCCCAAGAACAAGGTGATCCTCGTGAAGGAGGCTCTGTCGAAGCTCAGCAAACAGCAGTACTCTATCGAGGAGCTGACCAGGAAACCACTGCCAGAGGGAGTGGACCCTCTACGCCTGGAGGACTACCTGTCTGACCAGGACTTCAAGGTAGGGATACAAAGAGATAAATTATTTTAAGATTACATTAGAACCTTTTATCTTATTTTTACAAGCACACAATAAAAAATGCCCAGAATTCAATTGTGTTTAAATAAGACCCAAACTGTCTTCCAGCAAATGTACACCGATTAATGATTTTTTTGCCCTCTAATTTATTGTTTTACAGACACTTCTGGAGATGAGTCGAACCGAGTTCAACGCCCTGCCAAACTGGAAACAAAAGAACCTGAAGAAAAGCAAAGGCCTTTTTTAATCACTTTTGTTTGTTCAAAATTCTGCCTGTTTTATTTTATGTTTAAAGCAGCTTTTCTTACGTACCGTTATTTCTAAAAACAAAAGAAAATCATGTCCTTACTTTTGAAAGGATAAAGAAAAGCAACTGTACATTTTGTTGACCTGTTTTTAAAACAAACCTTTTTTAATGTGTCACTAAATACTTTGGCCAACCATTATGTGCAATTGTTAATCCCTTTAATGGCAAGGTGTTTTATTTACACATCAAAACTAGTTAACCTTCCATTTCGAATATGTAATATACTCTTGCTGAATGTGTTATTTGTACTCTGAACAGTGTCAATTTTTGTGTTTGTGTGCATACTGCCTGTTGTTTTGGAAACTGTGGGAGCTTTTCATCTGTTCTGTTTGGTATTAGATTACTCAGCGTGTCTTCACCAAGGGGGTTGACAAAGAAAGGGACAAAACAGTTTAAAGTTTAGAAAATCCTCTCGTACTTTGTGTTTCTTTTCAAAGACACGTGGTGGTCTTAAAAATTCTGATTTTATTTGAGACCTCTGGTTGTCTTGTGGATAAAAAAAAAAACAGTTCAATTTCTTTTTAGTCCCCCTTTTTTGAAAAGCTATGTGATAAACTCAATTATAAGATCCCTCAACACACACAAGTTATCTGTCATTGGATTGACCCAGATGATATTTTTGGTACTTAATGCTTCCTGGTTCATACAAAGAGCCGCCTGTGTGCCTGTGACAGCAGGACTATAATCAACTGGTTGTTTGGGACCAAATGTGATTGTTTTGTCTTCTTATAAGTGTTTGTTTTTGTATTTGTGCGTGTCTGTGTGAGTGTGTGCAGCTGTGCAACTTTAAAAGTATTAAGTTTGAGTGTGCGTGTGTGTGTGTATGAAAGAGACAGCGTAAGAGTAACTGTGCTATATAAACTGCCTCTGTAGCTGGCACCAATATTGTAAACTAGTGGCATTTTATGATGTGTTAAACAACTTGGGAATAAGACTGCCTGCTATGTCTGAATAAGCGATTCTCTGCATGATGTTCACAAAAGCAATTTGCCAACATTTGTATTGATTTTGCAACATATGCATCTTTGTGATAGATTTAGATTGTATTATATGAGGAGACAGCGTTTAGGCCAGCTGTATTTCATGGCACATAAAGTTAACATTGGTGGTAGGGAAATGAGATATGAACATCAAGATTCCCTTTTGAATAAACTGTTTCTAAAAATCTTTCGTTTTAACTTCCTTGAATCAGCAAAAGCGTCTGCAATTTATTTTTTTGCTTTCTTCTCATGGCATTGTTCATACGTGCTGCCCAAAACAGCACAATGGAAAACGAATAGATGCACAGTCTTTAAAGATGAAGCCAAGCCATCTGTTGTAGGTTGAATAAAGCCAATTTGGCCTACTTTGCCATGTAGTACAATTCGTAACCTTTTACTAAAATGTGATATATTACAAAGACTTTCTTCTGCCCCAAAACCCTTGTAGGCCAATCTAAAGGGATGCATTCTCTATTTGTAAAGGCAGGAAACACATTGATTGTAAAATATGTGCATGGATGAATACAGAAGAGAGCTTTCAGGTGTTCAACATGTACGTTTGACATATCTACAAAGTTGCTAAATGGCAAAGTGCTTGCAAACAAATAAGCAACTGGAATAATATGCAATACAACTGGTGAGCATTCCTGGTGTTGTTTTTTTGTCACTTCTTCAATTAATCTGTTCTGGACTCGTGTCAAACTTTACGAGCTAAGTAACAAGACTCAGCATCTCACTCGTTGAGGTAGCATAAAAACTACAATGCTATGCCAGCTGTCGGTTTAAACTAAGGCTGAAAAGTGGTGGTGTCGGATAAACATGAATTAAAATGCTCTGTAGAGGGTCTGTCAAGTATTAGTATGTGTGTGTGTTTATCGCTAAAAGGACCTTGTTTTATTAATAGAAAGTAAATTTGAACAAGTTACTTGAAGTTATGTTCATATTATTATTTGCTTACTTTGCTAGGCCTCCGCACTGCCTCTATTAAATTATTTGTTACCATACAATAAGTTAAACTAAGTATTGGTGCAACATTAAAACACATTAAAAGCCCAGTGGAAAAAATATTTTTGGGGTCTACAAGTCCAAGAAAATTAAATTAATTTAAAAAATAGCCTAATATATTTTAAAACAATATCAAAACCATGGCCTCGTTGTCTCTGATATCTACTTCTACTACACTAACAATGTGTTGCAATGCTACTGTGTGGTAAGGGTGCACAAAAACACAAAAACATATCAATGCAGTTTCTTAGGGGACCTTTCAAAGTATTCTTGACTTCATGTATTTATTTAAGATAAATATGGGCACTCATGTTCACAACTAACCACATGGAGGTGCTGCAAGTCCAACCTTTACAAACTTTAACTCTTCCTCAGACGTGTAGATTTTAAGAACAGGCATCTACTAGTCAGGGGAAGAAAATAAAATATTCACAGGAAATACAACAAACTAAGCTTGGACTCAAGTTAGTTTGTAGGCTGGGGGGGGGGTCTTGAATTTTTTGTAGAACATTGTGTCAAAACTGCATGAATATTTATCGTGTTCTCCCTGGCTCATGCTATTAAGGCTGTTTTCAACAACACCTGCTTGGCTGGAAGGCAAAGCATCTGTTTACCACACAACCAGGGTCCATGTTATATCATAAGCATGCAAAGATCAAGAAGATAATTGTGCATCACTTTTAAGACGCACTTATTTCATCATGGCCCAGCTCTTTGTCTCATTTCTATAGATCCCCCTGACAAACATACAGCAGCACCATTATTTCCACAACAGATGGCGGGAGGCAGCTACCGCTTCCTCCAACAGCAAATGGGTGGCTGGTTTGTTTATTTATTATCATCTCTTCCTTGCGAGCATTAATCACCTGCATCACTCTGCCTCCTGGCTCAGGTGCCCCAGCATCCCACAATGTGTTTGACATGCAGGCAAACAATGAGACTGCTAATACAAGATTAGCATGAGTAATAACAGGCTGGATATGAGATGATAGAGCTCAATGGGCAGCTTGGACAAGAACAGTCTACATGTCTGATCAGCCTCCAATTTTCTGGCCGGTCATCACTGCGAGGGCAGTCTCAACTCAGTGTGAACCTGTTCTTAAGTAATATTTTATGAAGTCAACCCAGTAAAAAAACACTAGCACAACACTGGCACAGAAATACCAACTACATGTAATCAACTTCATAACTGCAACCCTGGACGGTGTTATCTTATGACATCTCCCACTGAGCAAAAGACAGCTATTAGACATCTAGTGTTTTTTTTTTTAGACCTCATTTCAACCATCTAGACTGTATATTTTAGACTGAATTTAGACATTGTACTTTAACCCATTTTTTCGATATGTCATTATTTCAATAAGCAACTGTGAGTTGCATAACTGATCTCCAATTACTTAACCAAAATAATTATGATAGCCATTGAGCAATGTAAAGTGCAGTATAGATATAGCCCAGATTTAGACTTGGTCTAAACTTTGTCTAAATTTAGACACCTAAAAAAAATTTCATTTTTAGACCTGTGGTATCCGGATTTTAGACCAGTTGTCTAGGCTACATTTAGGAGTCTATTAGACCTCTTCTAGACCAAAAAATGCTAAGTGGGCTTTTGTCATCCTAAATGAGAAATCCCCATAAACTGCATTTTCCATATAGAGTTACTAAAGAGCCACTTCATTACCCAGCTTTGACTCGTTGCCACACTGTCTAAAGTGCTTGTTTCAAAACCCCAGAACATCACCGATCAATACCCAGCAAGGAAAGTGATTATAGTGATTATGTCATATCAAATCAGAGAGTGGAAAGAAGTAGAAGCCTAGCACATTCACACTGTGGCAAAAACAATTATTTCTGTTTGTATTCTGATTTGGTTAACATTGTGGCAAAACCTGGAGTAGCAGTGATTTGAATGAAGTGATCTACCTGTTTAATGTTAAATCAGTACTGAAATAGTTCTCACAAAGCAAACATCTATGTTGAATGTCAGTGATAAGTCCTGCTATTGAGTTGCATCGAGGGCATTAACTCTATAGATGCTTCAAACCAACACAAGTCAGCATTTTTCCCTTTTGGAGCTAGCTGTTCCTGCAGTTCCGGCCATTTCCTAACCAGCCAAGCTAACCAACTGCTCGCTGTAGTCAAAAAATGTATCATCCATATATGAGTGAGGTATTATTCCTCTCATCTGACTCTTAGCAAGAAAGCCAGTTAGTGTACTTTCATCAGCATTAAACGTTTTAAATTGTTCATCAGTGTGTGGTGACGAGTTTTTGCCAATGTTGCTCCACTAGTGTGTTGAACACAACCATCACGATAGCATAGTTCTTTTGTGTTTTGCTCATCTTGATCTTGACTGCACTTAAATGGATTTTTTGTCGTAATTTGCACTCCCGTTGAAGGAGAGTTTTTGTATTGAAAAAAACTGCCATTGTAATTTAATTTGATCTTGGTTCTCTTTCTCCTGTTTTATTTATGCTGATAAGTGTTGGGGTCATAATTGCAGAGCAGAAACAGAAGGCTGACAAAAGAAAAGATTTAATAAACACCCAAATGTGACATGTTTGGAGAATTGATTGCCTCAGAGGGATCCAATCAGTGCGCTGCTTTTATAGCTGCTTTCTTTCACTGTAAGAGAACATGTTTATTAGCCGGTGCAGCAGGAATGAACTCAGCTCTGAGGAGGACAAGAGAGTCCTTCAAATTCTCATAACTCTCAAAGCAATATTGCCTTGAAAAGAAGAAAAAATAAAACTCTTGTTTGTATGTGGGAAATCCAAGTCCTTGAGAATTTCAGTATTGAACCAATAATATGCAATCACCCTGGATCCTGTGTGCTCCTTTTTGTGTCGATGTGGGTGCAATGAGGAGAATCAGCAGGAATAAAGGTGTTAATGTTTCTAATCAATGTTCCTCTCAGACTCCCCTCCCAGCAGTGCTCCCCTTGCTCTGGATTCCTGCTGCTGAATTAAACTCGCTAAGTTCTCCAAGACAGCTTAAAGCCTACAGCTGTATTAACTCTCTGAGCTGTGCAATAGAAACTCATCCTCTGGGTAAGATCCTCATCCCAAAACTGTATTATTACCGTCACGATTTGTTATCTCCAAGTTTATGAAAAGCCATAGAAAGTTATTTTTTTTAATCTGTATTTCAGTGACTTTGTTGTAAGATTACACCTCAGTTTCATCACATCCCCACATTTGAGTCCAAACTACACATCCAGAATATGAACTGTTTCATGGTTACATCTATGAACAAACAAAACAGGGGCTGAAATGGAAATTTCATAAATTAAGGTGTAAATGCGGCACCAGAATTTTAACAGGGGTATAAAGTGTAAGTACAAAATTATAAGTCGTATGTCATTGCCTGGCTTTCTTATTTATCACCCAGCATGTGACTGATGACACTTTCATTGTCCTCACGTATTGTTTGTGTCCTCTACTGCACGGACACTCCATCAGGAAGTAGAGCTGAAGTCATTTATTACACAGCAATGACTAGTTAAAACAGTCAACACTAGACCTGAAATGTTTTCTGCATTTTGCGGCTTTTGTTTGAATGAAAGTATTTTTAAAACAGTCTCATATTTCATCATTGAGGCTATCTTAGAACTAACATTAATCTCATCTCATTCTCATGAACTCAAAATCAGGTCCCTTATAATCTGGTGAGCTGAGTGTCTCGTCACACCTCTAATTAGAATACCAAAATGTCTACATACTTCATAATTAAAATTGTCAATCAAACTGCAGTCTTTGAAATGCTTGCCATTTGAACTAATAAGCAGCTAAATGTTCCTCCTAAAATTGAAATACTTATGCTTTTGCTGTCCAAGATTCTTTTGGAGCACTTTCCTACCACCCACATTTTATTCCCTCCCCCATTAGTGTGAAATGTGGGAGAAAAACATGCATCTGAAGCACACTCAAAAGTCACATCATCTGCTTTGAGACTTCTCTTTTTTTTTATTAGAGACTTTCCTTTTTTTAAACTCAACAATTTTTATTTTAACATGAGCAGCAAGGCTGCACAGCAAGCAGCATAAGTGACTGAAGCTGTCACAGCTGCCCTGCTGTCTGTCCGCTGACCCAAACTGCTGGATATGGCAGAAAGCCCTGACAAATCTAATAAGTGGTCCCTTTGTGTTGAGTTTCTTAAAGTACTGTCTAATCCAACAGCAGAGCAGGGTGAGTTCTTCAAAGGACTGTGAAA